TATCGCTGGGTTCATGTCTCGCTCCAAGACCGGCCCACACCCCATACCCAAGCCTTTCCAATCAATTTGACCCAAAAAATTTCTTAGGCTATTAAAATCAGCTTTTCGAAAATCTGGCACTTTAACAGAATTTTCTCCTACTGGTCTATTCCATTCTATGCTAAATCTGATTTCTTTGTTTTATATTGAAAATCTACCGCCCCTGGGGAGGACGGAGTAACTTATGAAATACTTAATGAACTTGCCATTGTGACGGAAAGCCCACTTTTAGACCTCTTTAATATTAGTTATAAAGAGGGCAGTATTCCCAGTAAATGGAAAAAAAGCTATGATCATCCCTATCCCTAAAGCCAATGGAGAGTTCAGACCTGTGTCTTTAACCTCGTGTTTTTGTAAAATGATGGAGAGGATCATTTTAAATAGACTTTTATATATAATAGGTGATCAGCTGTCTAGTAATTTGTTCGGGTTCCTCAAAGGAAAAAGTACCTCTGATTGTATTATTAAATGTCTAGCTAATGAAAATGATTATTATAGAATTTTTATTGATTTACAAGGAGCTTTTGATAAAGCCAACAAAGAGGTTATTTTATATGAATTAGCTGGTCTTGGTGTTGAAGGGAGATTATTGCGCTGGATAGGGGATTATCTTTACGAAAGGAAGGCTCAGGTGTGGTATCAAGGTTGTAGGTCAGGTGTGAGGTCTTTTGAACTCGGCACACCTCAGGGAGGAGTGTTGAGTCCCACCCTGTTTAATGTACTAATGAATAAGATAGCATCTGAGAGATACTCAAATGTGGTAACTCCGATCATATATGCCGACGATATTTTGTTTCAGGGCAAAGATATTTCAAAGGTTCAAACAGTGTTGGACAATTTCGGAAACCTGTGTCACCATATGGGACTGGTGGTTAATGAAGACAAAACTAAGTTTGAATGTAGAAGTCGGAGGCCTATTATACTGAAAATAAACTGTAAAAATATAGAGTTAATTTATACAAATATTTAGGCATATATGTTGGATATACCCATGAGAGTTTGGAAGCTGAGATGAACAGACTGTTGGGTCAATGTCGGAAGAGATTACAACCTCTGAAGGCCTTGGCATGCTGTGGAAAGGGAGTGGGAGTCCCTGTGCTACGAATGTTATACTTGAGTACTGTAAGATCTCTTATTGATTATGCTGCACCTGCCATTTCTTGTTTTGGTAAAGGTAGGATGGGCAAGTTGGAGAAGGTACAAAATGAAGCCATGAGAATTATCTTAGGATGCCCAAGAAATGCTATGATTGAGATAATGAGGATGGAGTTGAATCTGCAGAGTATTGGGGATAGAATTTCAGAGATAAATGTAGCTTCTGTCATTAGATTAATGAGAGGTGTGGGAGCTAATGAATTAATCCTCTCGGTTCAAAAGGTGGGAAGTAGTGAACAGTGTATGATGAAGAAGAGAGCATATATGAGTACCTTATGGTCTAATGTTATAAAGTATGATGTTATTACAGAGTGTATTGCTGTGCCCAAGAGAAAATTCACACCACCATGGGAGGATTGTAATGTAGATGTAGTAATTACTCCCTTGCAAAAGAAAAAAAGTATGTATGAAATAGGAGAGCTGAGGGCAACATATGATTGTATAATTAGACAACTGCCTACAGAAAACACTCTACATGTATATTGTGATGGGTCAGTAGCTAGGGATGGGAAGGCAGGATGTGGAGTCTTGATCAGGGAGTACACTGACATCGGCACTGTAGATACTGTTATTGGACGCCGCTTAACTGACAATGTCTCTTCAACGCAGGCTGAACTCCAAGGAGTATTAGCAGGATTACAGGAAGTAGTCAAATGTGGTAAAAATGCTTGCTTCTTTATTGACAGCAGAGGAGCGTTAGAGTCTTTAAATAGCAGACGCCCAGTATATCAGAATATTGTGATAGAGTGTAGAGAGAATGTTAAGAAATTAGAAAAAACTGGGTATAAAGTAAGATTCATGTGGATCCCTTCACATGTGAGAATACTGTTGAATGAGGTAGTTGATGACATAGCGAAGAGAGCCACTGAAAAACTCTTGTTGATGTTGTATGTCAGTTAACCTTGAAACAAATAAAAACAAGAATCAAGATGATCCAAGAGGGTGAAGAAATGATAAAGAGAATGGCAATGGTGGACAGTAGTAACACACTTAAGAATTATTCAGTAATAAATACAAATTCGTCCTTCACCTATGGTAAAGGAAAGTCTACTTGGAAGGATTCAATTTACATGAGATTAAGATTAGGATACAAATATATCTGGCAATACGGTGTTGATGTAAGTGAAAAAGATAAGGAGTGTAAATTACGTAGTATGCCGCACGCCCACACCTTAGAACATTATGTATTAGAGTGTCAACTTATTGAAAACTATAGAAATAAGGAAATAAATAGTGTACCACATCAAATTGTTTGGATGTGTGATAATGGTATGATAGACAGTATACTTAGGAGCTACAAGAATTTTGCCCCGAGAGTGTAACAATTATATGCTGTACTTACTATATAAACCTGCAATGTTAAATGGGATTCTTGGAATGTTATTTGTCTATTTGTACTCACTGAATTTGTGCGCCCCTTGAGGGACTTGAAGTAGAGGGGGGTAGAAATAGCCTAAGCTACTCTATCCCTTTGAGATGTATTTATTGCTTATCTCAATAAACATACTTGAACTTGAACTTGTTGATTTGTCGAACCAATTACCGCGTAACGTGGTAGAAGTGGGGTCCCTCAATTGTTTCAAGGGTAGGTTGGACATGTATATGAGTGGGATTAATAATAAATAAATAAATAAATGTTTATTTAGGTAAGGTACATACATAAAGAGATTTTACAAAGTTTGTTGGATTAATAGATAGAGCTAGTACATAAATGCCTAAAGCCACTATTACGCAAAGCGTTTCGGGCAAGAGCTACAAGAATTTTGGGTGGTTATAGATAGGCTCTGCCTCGTATGGGCCAATAGGCCTTCTGCAGTTACCTTGGGCCAGATTCACGAAAGCAGTTACGCAAGTACTTACGAACGTGTACATTTTTCCTCAATCTTTGACGGCTTTGGTTACATTTATTAAACAGTTTATAAGCATGAAAACTTCCCATTCAACTGTTGTTATTGTTATAAACAGCCTCCTGATGTTTCGGAGCTCATTAACTGTTTAATATATGGAAACAAAGCCACCAAAGATTGAGAAAAGATGTACAGGTTCGTAAGTGCTTTCGTGAATCTGGCCCCTTGTTCTTATGTTCTTACCTCATACCGTCACAACATAGCACCAGAAAGCTGTAATTACTTTATATACTGAGGAATACTGGAAGATATTCTTGTGGTGTACCCAGAGTGTGCTAGTGGAGGCTAATGGATAAAAATAATGGTAATAATAATAATTTATTCACAAGAAGGTACAATGGGTTGGTGAGATTACATAGTTTTAGTTTAGTTTATTTATTATGCACCCCATACCCATCTTGTGGGCGGTAGTGGAAAGGGTTACAGAGGCACATAATGGGCTCAGGGACTGAACCCCACAATTCATTTAGCTAAGCAAGTTACAATCTTGATGAGCTAGTTATAAAATTCAGTATAAGTCGTCACATCAACAATGGGTTCGAGATCGACCTCAAGTACAGTTTCTAAATTAAGCAACTGACATATGTGGAGAGCTAGTGTCAAAATTGATATGTTTGTCCTGCACACCGCCCCCCATCCAGTGGGCAGCGGTGGATAGGTTACAATAACTTAGTTACTACCTACAGTTAGCAAATTGGGGATATTTGGCTAAAATTTCTGGTAGCAGATCATTTTGAATGAAATATTGACACATCGCTGGAACATTGGTTATAGAATTGTCTCTAAATTCACGTATCTTTTCGCACTCCATCACATAGTGACGGAGGGTGTGCGAATAATTTTGTTGACACAGTTTACATTTGGTCAGGTCTACATCAGCAGATAATGAGAATTCCCAGAGATACTTGTAACCGAGTCTAAGCCGAGCAGTAGTAACATCTAGAAGTCTGCTGATTTTATTGGATGATCCATAGATGTGTGGCTCCTCTTGCATGATAGTATGATGATAGATGGAATTACTGGTGTCAATTTCACTTTGCCTCAGATCTACAAGATCTTGTTGAAGTTCTCGGTGTACTGCTGCTCTCAGATTGCTCAGTGATTGGTATTTGTACAGTCTTGCAAAGCCACTAAGAGTATATTTTCGGGTAGTGCCTGGTAGAGCAGCCTGGCATTTCATGTTCTCTCCTGATGCCATGTATGACTAACCATCCTGCGAGATGGGGGAAGTAGCACATGAATGTTGTGTATACCTAAGCCTGTTAATAACCAAAAAAACTGAATTGGTACAGCTGGGATATGTACACCAAGAGGTGGACTCTGCCGCTTCTCGGTGTGTGTATATATACTTGAAGTTGAGTGTAATCTTGAACTTTGTACATCACATAAGTGTACTTGCTGGTTAGTCAGTGAACAATTGTGATGGCCTTAATAACTTTCTACCCAAAATAGGTGCAGGAAATGGTATAATTAATATGAGCAATTTACATTTGGTTTTTATTAATACATTTTGTTAGTTCAATTATTCAATTTCTTTCTTTATTATTCACCCCATACCCATCCCGTGGGCGGTGGTGTAATTTAAATGTTGTTATATTTCGGCTCATTGTTAACGAAACTTAAAGAATGCTAAATTTAAAGTATACATATATTATAATGCAAGAATGTAAGAATTCTTGTATAAATAAATAAATAAATAAAAGTGTGTCGTAATAAGTGTAGGGATTATATATATATATCTCCCGAGACGCTATGGGTCTTGGTGGCTTTAGGCCTAATATATACTAGGCCTATCTAGAAATCCAACATTGTGCTTGTAACTCCTTTTGTATTGTATATAGTTTTACCTAAATAAAGATTATTATTTAATGATTGTGGGAGGGTAGGAGGCGGGGAGCGAGCACATACGTATGTGTGAAGAGAGAGGGAAGGTTGCCAGGTGGTGGCGGCCCACATGGCTGCCACCACCACACTCCTCGTCCCTCATACACCACTATCATGAGGCAGCTGCTCTAGTGCACGAGAGAGGCAGCTGGTGTAGTGGAGGAGAGGCAGCTGGTGTAGTGTAGGAGGTGGTAGTGTAGGCGAGGGAAGGCAGTATAGTGGTGGTGTGTGGCAGGTGAGGGCTGGACGTGGTGCTGGTCTTGGACGTGTTCAGTGTGAGGGTAGTGGAGGAGTACGGCCGGCCCTCGGCCTCATTGTGGCCTCACACACCACTACCACCACCACCAGGTCACCACCACTCGTCTCTACCACCATCTACCACCACAGGTCACCATGGACGTGGAGGTCAGTACTGCCAAGCTCTAGTATTATACACCTCACACCTACATACTAACACATTCAACACTATTTGAAAGTGAATATATATATATATATATATATATATATATATATATATATATATATATATATATATATATATATATATATATATATATATATATATATATATATATATATATATATATACAAGAAGGTACATTGGGATTGTGAGGAAACATAGCATAGTAATTACACTCTTGTAAAGCCACTAGTACGCGCAGGGTTTCAGGCAGTATACTATAGAATATTATAAAGCTATGTTGTTAAAGCAGTGGAGTATATTGTGTTGGGAGTGATACCCGAGGACGCCACACCAGCCGCCCTCTGGCTCCTCACGGGTCATCCTCACACTTCTCACAATGGTTCAGGTTGTGTGGTACAGTATAGTTTGGGGGACCCCTTGACAAGCTGCCGGCTTCCAGGCCTTGTCGAGGCTGCTAGAGAGTGAGTGGCCCTCTGGTAAATACCCAGCATGGTTTGCCAATAGATATAATTACCTCTCAAAATCTTACCTAGCCACTATGTACTTAGCTCCACTATCCCCACCTAGGTAACACAGGCACATAAAATAAGTAAATAAATGTTTATTCAGGTAAAGTACATACATCAAGAGGTTATGCTCAATTATTCTTTATGCTCAATTAGTATTAAGCTTTAGTCATTATTGTTTTTCCTGCCCGAAACGCTTTGCGTAATAGTGGCTTTAGGCATTGTATGTACTAGCTCTATCTTTAAATCCATCACTCTTTGTAAAATCTCTTGTATGTATGTACCTTACCTAAATAAACATTTATTTATTTATTTATTTATTATGTTATACAAAAGTTGATAGATTCATAGAGCTAGTACATACAATGCCTGAAGCCACTATTACGCAAAGCGTTTCGGGCAGCCGTGGACATGGTCTCATGGCTTCTACTAATTGACTCTTAAGTTAACACAGCCTAACCTAAGGTCACAGCTTAACATAAATATCTACAGTAAGTTGTTTTTACAATTAGAAAGCTCTGTTGAAAAGCATATGTATGATATGACTGATAAACAAATCATTCAGAGATGCGTTGATGAACCTCGTTCAACTCAAACGAGCTTCGTTAAACACGACCTAACGACATAAACGGTTTTAACACTTCACAGTTAGAAAACGAGATGCTGTGATTCCATGTATTTTGTGATCTTACTTCTTAGCACTCTCTCAAAAATTTTTATAATGTGCAATGTTAGTGCTATCGGTCTGTAATTTTTTGCCTCTGCCTTATTTCCTCCTTTATGAAGTGGTGCTATCTCTGCTGTTTTTAGTATATCAGGAATAACGCCAGTATCTAGGCTTTGTCTCCACAGAATGTGGAGGGCCTGCGATAGTGTTTTTTTACAGTTCTTGATGAATATTGAGTTCCAAGAATCCGGGCCTGGTGCAGAGTGCATAGGCATACTGTTTATGGCTTCTTCAAAATCTAGTGGGGATAGGGTGACGTCTGATATATGATTTGATGTTGGTATCATATCCATGAAAAATTTATTTGGGTTATCAATCTTTAGTGTGTTTAATGGCTCACTGAAAACAGTCGTACTGCTTCCTCAGTAGCTCGCTCATTTCTTTGTTGTCATCAGTGAAAGTTCCATCTTCCTTTTGCAGGGGCCCGATACTAGATGTGGTTTTTTATCTTGATTTTGCATAGGAGAAAAAATATTTTGGATTTCTCTATTTCACTGATGGCCTTTTGCTCTCTTTGCATCTCCTGGGTTTTGTATGATTCTTGTAGCTTGCGTTCAATTGTTTCTATTTCTCTACCTAACCTTCGCCGTTCTTGAGATAGGGTGCGACTCTCAAGTTGTTCTGCGATTCGCTCTCTTCGCCTATATAGGGAACGACGTTCCCGTTCCAATCTGCATCTCTTCCTCTTTTTTTCTTAGGGGTATGCGGTTTGAACATATTTCTAGTGCTACTGAGCTTATTTTTTCCAGGCACTGGTTCAGGTTTGCATTTTCTAGCTGTTCTTCCCAGTTTATTTCTGTGAAGTCCTGGTTTATGGTTGTCATAGCTTCAATTAAGTTGTGATCTGAGTAACAGGTATTTGTAATCATTATGTTCCTGATCAATTCATCATTATTAGTGAAAATGAGGTCAAGCGTGTTCTCCTTCCTAGTTGGTTCTACTATTTGCTGGTTTAAGGCAAACCTGTCGCACATCCGTAGCAGGTCATTTGCATGTGCCTGTTCATTTAGGCTACTTCCTGGTATTCTTTCTGATATTACTGTATTAGCCAGGTGCTTCCATTTCGGGTGCCGTAGGTTGAAGTCCCCAAGCAGGATGATGTTCGGAGCTGGATTTGTGAGGTTTTCCAAGCAGTATTTTCATTAGTTGGTCTTTAAACTGCTGAGGGTTTGCCTCCGGTGACTTATATACAAGGACAATAACTACATTTAGAATCTCTATTTTGATTATCAGCACTTCCACCATATCATTTGAGGTGTTTAGCAGCTCAGTACAGATGAGTGTCTTTGATGTAGAGGCTGACCCCACCCTGAAGCCGGTGTTTCCTATCACATCTGAAAAGATTGTACTCTGAGATCCATATTTCACCATCATGGTAGTCCTTTGTGTGGGTTTCTGTTAGGGCTGCAAACACTGCATTTGCCTCATGATGGAGACCATCAATAAAGTGAACTTTGTTGGGTTTGTGTGTTTTTATACCCTGGATGTTGGCAAATATAAATGATGTTATCGTGTTAGTGGAAGTGCTGGATGCCTTACTTGGTGTTAATATCTGAGGCTCTGGTAAGGAGGCCACTGTGTTTGCGTCCAGGGTGTGTTGTTTTGGAAGTGATTCGTCCAGTTTTGGTAGTAGGACGGGTGTTGTGTGGTGTAGTACCTGTGTGCTTGTTGATAGTTTGTATTCCAGTCTTGTGGGTATCTCCGTTCCCCTCTGTAATCCTGTAGTGGTTCCATCTGACTGTTCCTCTCTCTAATATTTACTACTCTGTTTCTGCCTTCTTCTAAAAAAATTCCAGTAGTGTCATATTGATCTTCCCGTCTATAACGCTGTGTACATCTCACATGGAATTTCGGACACTGAAGATTGTAGCATTTTTTGTCCCTAATTGAAAATTGACATAATTTAGGGTGGAAGTATCTACACCCGGGTCCAAAACGGCATGTACCCCTCGCCAACATGTTCCTGCATTTTCGAGGATGCAGAAAATGGCATTTTGCTCCTAATTTTCCATATTTGCATATTCCTTTAGCGTAGAATTTGCAAATATGTTCCGGTTTTGCGTTTTTCAAGGTATTTATATCTGTCTGTCTTGTCTACCTCTTTATTGGAGCCATCTCCGTTTTTCGTCCGAATTCCTTCATTTATGCACTCTGTCTCACTATTGCTCTCATCGTTTATATTATCTGGCTCTGCAATATTGCTGTTATATTGTACCACAATAGTCTCCTCCTCCACACTCCTGCTGCGGTTCTCTAAACTATCTGTTCCTGAGTTTTGGTCGTTATCCAATGTTGTCTTTTCCCAGTCTGCATATATGACTGGTAGCCTGTCTATGAATGATAATCTCTGTGACTCGGGAATGTTTTTCATCAGATTAGTTACGTTCTCTAACATTAATCTGTCATCTTTGCAAACCCAGTAAATTCCTTGCCTTTTTGTGCATCCTGGAGCTAATTCTGTACAGCCCAGGTGAAATCTTATGTTACAGATGCAACATGTTACGCCTACATTACGTTTTCCCAGTACTCCCGAACACTCGCCACACCTCTCCATTGTCTGATGAATTGTGTTGTATTTGAGGTTCACTGTATGGATCACTTGTTGATGTCAGTCCTTTTAACTTTATAAAATTATATGTATATATTTATATATTTAATAATTATAATATTATATGTATACCGTATATTTGTAATATTATGTATGTTATTTTGTTCAAACTTTATGGCAGGTACTTAGCGTAGGGTAGCGAAGCTGGGCCCCGGTCGGTACAGGTGACCTCTTGTTGTCCCAGGTTGATGTCACCAGTTTCCAGTTACTCGATTTATAACCACTGATGCCGCCTCTTGCCACTATTCTATATTTCTAGTATTATATCACGATTTTCCTTCACTTCCAACTTATATGTTGTTGTGATACCTGTTCCACTTCACTGTTCCACGAATCACCGTTCACTATATTTTCCTCATACACGCATGTACACAAAGCCTGGTGCACTGGCTCACACGTGGTCTCCCGTTTATTCTCTATTTAACACAAAGTTCTATTGATAATGACTGTTTTCAATTTTCCAGCGGGTCACTGCACTTTGTCTGTAATCAATAATCCATGGTAGTAGTCCTAAGAAATCCCGGTTAATGTCACGATTTTAACGGAGCGCGCACGATACGTCTTCCCCCTCCCTCGACCACGACCCAACCAGCTAGTTTAAATCTATGACCTCTTGTTCTTAACACTTTCGCGTTCCACAGACTTAATAACTCGTCACTCATTTTTCTACTGAATGTGTTCCAGTGACGCATTTTTGCGTCACTCGATATAAAAATTTGTAAAAAAAAAAGTTTCTATGCGATCTTCAATTTTTTTTTTTTTGAAATGAGCGCCATTGTTTTCCCACAATCCTCCGTAGGCCGTATGGGATTCTGGGTCACGCCATGCAGTCGGCCTAGTCCTTTGTTTACGTCTCTCGTGACCGGACTACCGCGCTCCCGCGTCCAGAACCTGTGCCACTCTCTGCCCTGTGTAGCAGTGTTTATTCGTTCCTGTCTCCTTACAACGCATTATTACTTGCAAACATGGATCGTGGTAAAGGACAGAGCACCTCTACCCCCAAGAAGGATAGTGAAATGACCAAGGAAGATAAGTTGAGTGAGCTGTACAAAAGGTTCAGCAATGTGAAGCTTACCCCTAGTAAAATTCCTGATTTGTTGGATCGTTTGTCAGATGTGGAGGCAGATGCTGAAGGGGAAGAGCGTCAGAGTGATTTCAGTAGTGATAATGAGGGGACAGCGTCGTCTGATGAGTTTGATTCATCATCGACTGAGGAGAGTAGCGAGGGGATTGAGGATGAGTCAGCGGATGTGGGCCGCCCCAAGGCACCTGTAAGGAGGCGTGCAGAACGTCTTCAACAGCCTAATCCCGATGCTGCCTGGTCAACTGACAATACACCACCTATTGTAGGCAGTTTCAGTGCCACACCAGGCATAACTGTCCCAGTGCCAATTACCCCCCTGCAATTTGTTCAATTATTTCTGACCCGTGCCCTAATTGAGTTCATCACAGTGGAAACTAACAGGTATGCCAGGCAGTTTATTCAGAATGCTTCCAGGCGCACTATGAGGTTGTGGAAGGAGGTATCTGCGAAGGAAATGGCAAGGTATTTGGCTTTATCAATCTTGATGGGTATTGCACGACTCCCAACAATGCGCATGTACTGGCAAACAAGCCGGTTGTGGCATATGAGGACCTTCAATGTGTTCATGACTTCAAAACGATTCCAACATATTGCCCAGTTTTTTCATACTTATAACCAGTTTGCAATTCCACCCAACAACAAGAACCGCATGATAAAACTCAGCACCATCATTACCTATTTGACCAACAAATTTGGCTCTTACTACGTCCCCAATCAAGCACTCAGTTTGGATGAAGGTACAATGTCGTGGCGTGGTCGTCTATCCTTCAAGGTTTACAACCCCAATAAGCCTGATAAGTATGGGGTAAAGTTGTACATGCTTGCTGAGGCAGGGACTGGTTATATTATTGATTTCGAGGTTTATTCTGGAGTGGGCAAGACAACAGTTGAGACAGTGATGGGCCTTATGCGACCCTTGTTGAACAAAGGTTATCATCTTTATATGGACAATTATTATAACTCTGTCCATCTCACAGAATTGCTAAGGGAAAATGGTGTGTACACTTGTGGAACACTCAGATTGCAGCGTGGTGCCCCTAAAGAGCTGCAAAAACTTGCCAAAGGTAAATTCGCTGTTGATCAGACTATTTTCAGGCGCAAGGATAACACTTTTGTTATCCTTTGGAAAGACAAGAGAGTGGTGTCAGTGATCACAAACTGCCATAATGCTGACACACAGGAAGTACAGAGAAGGAAGAGAGTGAAGAAACGTGACGGAACATCATCTGTTCAGATTGTAACTGTAAACAAACCAACAGCCATTTGCGACTACAACAACAACATGAAGGGAGTTGATCACTTCGACCAAATGGTCAAATATTACAGGTTCACCAGGAAGTCGCATAAGTGGACTAAGAAGATCACATTTTACTTCCTTCAGATGGCTATACACAATGCCTATGTGTTGTACAAGATGTACACAACTGATGCCAAGAAACTGACCCTACTCCAGTTTCATGAAGTAGCAATATGGGCCCTGTTGGGGTGGGACATGGATGAGTGGCCTGCTACTGAAAGCCCTCTCCCACATGCTGATGATTACCAGGAACCTTCTCACGATTTGGCAACACCTGGCCCATCTGGAGCGAGGCGTCCTTTATTTCATCGTCTTCCACGCCAACCACATGCCTCATCCTCATCCGACACTGAACCTGAAACTGAAACGCCTGCACCTCAAGCTGAAGCTACTCCTCCACCTGTGAAAAACCCCCGCATTGTTGATTCAGAGGACAGGCTAAACAGGAAGTTGACTCATGCATTAGTGAAAATTGCTAAACGGAAACGGTGCCGAGTTTGTATGAAGTCGGGAATTAGAAAAGACTGTATGTATCAGTGCAGGACATGTGGAGTTGCTCTATGTGCCACACCATGCTACTCAAAATATCACCGCAAGAGGATATTTTGGAAAGCAAAGAAATAACTCCTCTGCAAGCTTCCACTCCACCTAACGTAACATCTGTTGAGCAACTTCAGGGACATTTTCCTGAAGCCGGTGGAGTGGATAATCAAATGCTCAACTTGTTGACCTTCCTTCATCACATCGTGGGTAAGTACACATAATTTATATTACACATTTTGAGGTTATTACTTCTTCATACTTTGCTGTGGGTAGCTCTATATATATTCCAGTTCTTAGTGCTCAGATTGGTATGTCTACATAGTGCATCTTCTTGCGAGTATTTTGACACCAAAATGAACAATGTAGCACAAAAACTTCCATTGGAACAATATTTTTGTTTGTCGGGTGTATTGGGTGTACCGGGCGTGGAAACGGGTGTTTGGGCGGGTGAGGCATCGACGTGTTTGGGGGTGTTTGGGGGTGAGGCGCGCACGTGTAACCCACTTTTATGCATATGTCTGTGTAGGCAATTTTATTGCGATCACCGTGATACCAAACAAAACCATATGCAACAAGTTTTGACTTGATAAACACAATCAGAGTAGCAACATATAGGGAGAGTTTAGCGGAGTTTAGCGTGAGCGCGAAACAAAGCACGCAGTTCTTTGGTTGCTGGTCGCCTAATGTTAGCTTTGGTGAAATGTTATACATATGTTCTTATAGTACATTTCATTAGCTACACAGTGATACCAAAAAAAAACACGTACATCGAAAATGAGGGTCACAGACATGAGGAGAGTATAAACTTTTCAGTTGTGGTTGAGCGCATGTGCAGCTGGGCGCGCTCCGGCGGGTAACCCTAAGCCAACTTCCCACATTCCTGTGGGTGGGGCGACACCATTATTTATTGTGTATATTTATATGTCCGTGTAGGGAATTTTATTGCGGTCACAATGATACCAAAATAAACCACGAATAATAATTCTGGGGTTCGCAAACATAAAAACATCGTAAACATTGATGCCCGGTTTTACGCTCACAGCTAACGACTGCCACAGTTTGTTATTCGGTGTGGTTCTCATGTTGTCTTTGGTGACATTTTATATATATATTCCTCTAGAGCATTCTCTCGCGAACACAATGATACCAAATTTAAATACATGCCGCCAAAATTAAGCTCCCCACCCCGAAAAGATTATAAACATTTTAGTGCTGACGCGCAGTAGGCCGACACGAACGGCCCACTTAGGGCTTACCGTCAGCCTATTCCCAGGGAGCGCGAAAGTGTTAAAGTTCCAGGTCTCGGGAAATCTTCCCTATCGATTTTATCAATTCCTGTTACTATTTTGTATGTAGTGATCATATCACCTCTTTCTTCTGTCTTCAAGTTTTGGCATATTTAATGCCTCTAATCTCTCCTCGTAGTGTGGTCCTGTTAAGTTGTTGTGTCATTCGCCAGGCGGACAGATGTCGTGTGACTCCTTTATCATTGTTGGTAGGCTTATAATTGTACAAAATGTGGTTTCCTTAACCTCAGACCAATTTTCATAAGACTTGTATGTAGAGTGGTTATGATATTTTCTGAGTTGTGTAATTTCTATGTATTACTCTTAAGAGATTAAGAATTAATATAAGAATTTTCTTAATTTTATTTTGCCTAACTTTACCTGATGGGCACTCTTTCTCTAGTGGCCTCAACAAGGACAGGAAGCTGGTAGGTTGTCAGAGGTCTTTCCTATTTGTCCTGATGATTTTCAAGCTGCATTTTAATATTCAGTGTTTTGGTATTTACTGCTTGAGGCAGGTAAGCGGTTCTATGGCCTTATAATCTTATGGGTGAAAAAGCATCTCCTGTTTTCAGTTCTAAATTGTGGCTTTTTGAGCTTGAAACTGTTGCTTCTTGTTTGTTGCATCTGACCTTTTGAAAAAGTTGTTTGTAAACGTTTTGATGTCTGCCCTATCTTGTCAAATTTGCAGTGTCATTAGCCCTGTGGTCCTCGACCCATCTTCGTATGAGAGATCGGGCAACAAAAACCATTCCAGATGTTGAACTTTGTCCAAAGCAGCCGTCTTTCTGAAGATGGTCTCCATGCTTGGTTACAATAATCAAGTGTAGTGGTAAGTGAGCACCAGAGATTATACAGTTGAAATATACCTTCTTTTCTTTTGAAGTCAAATGTTCACTTGACAATTCCTAGGGTTTGGCTTGCACTCTTCTTTTTTTTTTCTTTTTTTTCATTGTAGCTCCCACTTGTGCAACTTTCAGCGAGTGATGGATCCCTACTCGAAGGTCCTTTTCATCATCAATCTGTTGTAAGGTAATGTTGTTTATCTGGTAGATGCAGTGAGGATTATTATGTTCCACATGCATCTTTTTTATATATTTGTCTAGCATTTGTCGATCTTAAAAAAGCATTTGCCATTCTTATCATTTCTGGAGTTCATGTAGATCTTTCGTAAGGTCTCAATCTCATTTTTATTTCACAATTTACCATAAATCTAAGGGCCATCTGCAAATTTGATGTGGTTTGTAATATTCTCATCAATGTCTTTGATGTACAGTATATGGCAAAAAAGGTTGGCCCAAATTGGACCCCCACTCACCACATTTCTTCAGTCAGATTCATTTCCGTTAAATGCTTTTCTTTGGTTTAATGATTGTTTTTTCCATTCTAGTATTTTACTATTTATTCCGTTTGCCTATAATGCCCTTGCTAGGATTTCATGTACTCGGCTAGTTGTTGTACTTGCATAGTTGTGCTTGCGGGGGTTGAGCTCTGGCTCTTTGGTCTTGCCTTTCAACTGTGAATCGACTGGTGAACAGATTCCTGAGCCTACTGGGTGCTCTCGTATCTACATTTGAAACTGTGTATGGAGTCAGCCTCCACCACATCACTGCTTAATGCATTCCATCTGTTAACTACTGACACTGAAAAGTACTTTCTAACTTCCTTGTGTACCTCAAGATGTGGTACCTTGTCCAAAGCTTTAGCCAAGTAAAATGACTGAGATTGGCCACTGCAATGTATTAAGAAAACTTGAAATACTTATGGCTTATTGATCAGACACTTATAAACAAAAATCAGAATTATTATTTACTCTCTTGCTGATGTTAAAAATTGAGAGTAAAATGTGACTATGTATGGCAGATAGAATTATACTGAACCCCTTAACTGCGCGCCCTCCAAATATGACAACCCCCCCCCCCCCAGTGCACAGGAAATAAATTCTTTTAAAAAAATTTTTTTTTTTTTTTGACAGTGTCAAAAACCCTTCCCTGAGTTAGGTATAGTAACAGAAGGTCGGAATTGTATGTACTCTGGCTGGTATAGGGTCTGTTAGTTCGTGCGTGACGTCATCATTCCCTGGTCGTGCGTGGCGTCCGCCCCCGGGCCACGCTGTGCGAGTTGCTGAGAATATATTTTTGTTCATTTTCTGCGCACAGTTCCAAATACATTTTATTTGCTTTTACGTGCCAATCCTATATATATTAAACACGTACACTATATTATGGCAGTAGAACATCCATACTGTCAAAAGACGTGTTACATGCATGACACACGTGTACACATCCAGCACATATTTCCATTGTATTATCCTAATTTATGTATATATACAGTCTATTTACACTATCACACACAATATACATTCACCATCAACACACTTAAGAACTCCGCGAGTGTCAGCTGCCACACCCTCACTCCTCCAACATCCAGTCTCTCCCTCACTCCTCTAACATCTTACTCGCCAGCATTGCTTCTCCCACCATACTGTTATTGTTTGTATTACACTATTTACACACGTTATGTATACCTATCTACATGTTTTATTCACCAGAACTATGCAAGTAAACCGGTATTGTGTCCAAACTTTACAGTGGCCACCATACACTGCATATAGTGTCTTCTGAATCTTCACTGTGTTGACGACTGTAGGATAAAGCACAAAAGGGAAAAAACGTTTAAAATAGTTTACTTAACATGAAAATTAGTATAATTTGGTAGCAGTCTTTCTTGTGAACATATGTTGTTGAATATGACCAAAAAGGTAAGATTAATAATTCTAACACGAATCTTCTCTATTTCTTATGTTTTCCTTCACTGTCGGTGGTAATAAAAATAACAATTCTCTGAAATTCATTTTCATTCGGGCATCCCTCCCTCCCCTTTGGTCGGCGTTTTTTTGCTTTTTTGATACTCAGCCTCTGGACTGGTGAGTTACCGGCGTGGAGGTCTGGGACCCGTCCTCCTCCTGGTGAGTTACCGGCGTGGAGGTCTGGGACCCGTCCTCCTCCTGGTGAGTTACCGGCGTGGAGGTCTGGGACCCGTCCTCCTCCTGGTGAGTTACCGACGTGGAGGTCTGGGACCCGTCCCCCTCCTGGGGAGTTACCGACGTGGAGGTCTGGGACCCGTCCTCCTCCTGGTGAGTTACCGGCGTGGAGGTCTGGGACCCGTCCTCCTCCTGGTGAGTTACCGACGTGGAGGTCTGGGACCCGTCCTCCTCCTGGGGAGTTACCGGCGTGGAGGTCTGGGACCCGTCCCCCTCCTGGGGAGTTACCGGCGTGGAGGTCTGGGACCCGTCCTCCTCCTGGGGAGTTACCGGCGTGGAGGTCTGGGACCCGTCCCCCTCCTGGGGAGTTACCGGCGTGGAGGTCTGGGACCCGTCCTCCTCCTGGGGAGTTACCGGCGTGGAGGTCTGGGACCCGTCCCCCTCCTGGGGAGTTACCGGCGTGGAGGTCTGGGACCCGTCCTCCTCCTGGGGAAGGAGGGGTTGTGCAGACGGATGCGCAGCGGTTGTGGTGACGTCTTACTTGTTTCCTTGGTTTTGATTGGGGAGTGCTGTTGCTTGTTCGACTTTCGGTTTGCAGTTTTTTTCTTATCAGTAGCTTGTTTTGGAATTCCTACCTTTCTGGGTGTCTGACCTGGCAGATGGCAGACAAAGACTGCTTCCAATTACACGGGGGTGTCTTTAGGCCATTGCTCCTCGTGCCTCTCTTGAGGGGCGCCAGGTTCTGGCTCTGGTCCCCGGTAGGCTTAGAACTCCTTCAATTGACTGTTGCCACGGTCTAATATATATACATCAGCCCGTCATAGCTCCGGGAAGCCTCTGGGTCTCGCCCAGAAAATGGCGTTTCATTACATTCGATGCTGGTTTTTTGTTGTACACCCCCAGGAAGCGGTCTGTAGCAGCTGTATAACTCCCAGGTACCTATTTACTGCTAGGTAACAGGGGCATCACGGTGAAAGTAACTGCCCATTTGTTTTCGCCTCCACCGGGGATCGAACCCGGAACCTGAGGACTATGATTCCAAAGCTCTGTCCACTCAGCTGTCAGGCCCCTATAAACTCATAAGCATCCCCATAAACTCTGCATAAGGCCTAGACTCATGGCATTCAATGTTTATCAAGGATTGCAAAATATTCACTACAGTATCACAGAACCTAAGCATCATTTGGAGATGAATCCAGGATACCATTGTCATCCTCCACAAATAAAACAGCAGAGATCATGCTACTCCACAATGGGGGTAGTAAAGCAATTTGCAAAAGTTATAGACAGCACTAACATCACATCATTAAAACATTTGAAATAATTCAAAGAAGTAAAGTTTCCATTCTATACATCAGGGGTTTAAATCTCCTTTTTCTGCACAGTACAGTAAAACAAATAAAAAATATTCCGAGCATCTACTTACTGTATATCCCATTGATGCTAATTTCATAGATATCTACAAATAAATGTTTAGGGGCAGTATTTGTTACCTTGTTTATAAAAATGTTTATAAATATTTTCCATGCAATTGCTTGTTACGAAGTCTTGCAATTTTCATTTTTCTCCCCCTTTGGTTATGGGGTGATAAGTGATGACCTGCTCCAGTTCATCTCTTTCAAGGGGCCAGATTCTGGTCCTGGTTAGTGGGTGTTCATGATTGGTCAAAGCTTGGTGTAATACCCAGTTTATTGTATTTGTGAGATGTGTATGAGAAGAGCAGAGGGATTACATAGAAGAACATGAGGATGATAAGAACAAATATTGTTTTTAGATTTTTGTTGTTATGCCTTTTGGCATCACATTTTTATAATAAAATTGTCACTAAAGTTTCACCTAACAGTAAATTTTCATCTTAACAGAGTGTGTGCACAACCCAGATCACTTACTCAGTGACCGAGAGTGTTCTCGAAGCTGTAGAGAATGGGACGCTGGTTAAAACCTTTGTTGAACATCAGGTTAGTGCATTTATCTTGTACTCTTATTTCTTATTAAATACCTTGAGTATTTAAAAATATTGTAGATTGTGATGTAGACTTAGGCTAAAAGGTTTTGTATACTAATTAGCACTTTTGCATTCTGATGATGCTAAGGCATGTTATCCAATTGCCGTTCATAAACATTTGTATACTCATCTCTTGTGTGTGTAATATGTATATTATAATTGTGTGTACAGGTACTGGCAGCAGGTTTTCATTTAGACACGTTTCATTAAGTGTGACCGAGATGTTCCATGTAGGTTATTTTCTTATTTAGGGCTTACTGGTATGAGGTATTCTTTCATCTCTATCGTGGTACTAACCATTTTTCTTTTCTTGGCTTGTATCATTAACTTTCCTTGGTGACGTCTTTACACGATGATTATATATATATCTACAATATATATATAATTGTACACTCACACATTCACTCACTCACTCACACACTGATTCACTCACTCACTCACTCACTCACTCACTCACTCACTCACTCACTTACTGATTGACTGACTGACTCACTCACTCACTCGCTCACTCACTGACTAAAATAATAGGAAGGATAAGAAACTTAGATGATTGTCATGCCCTTCAAGATGACCTGAACAAAATAAGTATATGGAGCACCACTTGGCAAATGGAATTTAATGTTAATAAATGCCATGTTATGGAATGTGGAATAGGAGAACATAGACCCCCACACAACCTATATATTATGTGAGAAATCTTTAAAGAATTCTGATAAAAAAAAGAGATCTAGGGGTGGTTCTAGATAGAAAACTATCACCTGAGGACCACATAAAGAATATTGTGCGAGGAGCCTATGCCACGCTTTCTAACTTCAGAATTGCTTTTAAATACATGGATGGCGATATACTAAAGAAATTGTTCACGACTTTTGTTAGGCCAAAGCTAGAATATGCAGCGGTGGTGTGGTGCCCATATCTTAAGCACATCAACAAACTGGAAGAGGTGCAAAGACATGCTACTAAGTGGCTCCCAGAACTGAAGGGCAAGAGCTACGAGGAGAGGTTAGAGGCATTAAATATGCCAAAACTAGAAGACAGAAGAAAAAGAGGTGATATGATCACTATATACAAAATAGTAACAGGAATTGATAAAATCGATAGGGAAGATTTCCTGAGACCTGGAACTTTAAGAGCAAGAGGTCATAGATATAAACTAGCTAAACACAGATGCCGAAGAAATACAAGAAAATTCACTTTCACAAACAGAGTGGTAGACGGTTGAAACAAGTTAAGTGAGAAGGTGGTGGAGGCCAAGACCGTCAGTAGTTTCAAAGCGTTATATGACAAAGAGTGCTGAGAAGACGGGACACCACGAGCGTAGCTCTCATCCTGTAACTACACTTAGGTAATTACTTGGGTAATTACATGTTCGCTCGCTCGCACACTCACTCACCTCCTTTCCTCACCTTGAGAGTGAGAGTATAAGACCTGAATTTGAACAGGCTAACAGTGATGTCTGTCCATAACACAATGCTTACTACAGTGACCCAAGCTCTCATCACCCTATCACTTGACATAACTTTGTAAGTCTAGTTTTTCATTGGTGTGTCGTCTCACTTCTTCCGTATATTCTTATTTCTGTTTACTTTAGCCAGTCACCTGATGTTTTTGATACAACTGACCTCTCTGTTTTATATAATCAGATGTTAACTCATGTCTTGTCACCACTTAACTTGAGAATGAACCTTTTAGGTTTGAAACATGTAAGTTATAATACGTATAATACATTATAGTTAATTTTTATTCGTCAACCTTGAACTATTATGACATTTGGAGAAATCCTCCTCCAATTAAACCAATATGCAAGAGCACCTGCTAAAGGGATAAAAGTCCTAAACCAGAAAATAAACATTGAATATGCAGTCATTTTAAGTGAAACAAATCTATTATAGATTTACTTATGTTTTTTCTGTTCTCTAGAGAATTCATTTGCAAACATTTTAACATCAAATTTCTAGTTATAATCCAACAAATAACTAAGAAAACATAAAAATGATTGAAAACTTTGTTCACATTCTGTGCTCCCCGGGCTGCTTAGCAATGTTTATGGTCTGGCACTCACGGACAGGTTGGACCGGCAGTATTAATTTTAGTTGACATTTATGGGTCACCTGTTATTTTTTTTAATTGTTATAGTATGCCTTTGTATAGCATCTTCAACTTTCAAACCTCCTGTTATAAATAGTATATAATCTGGAAATTTAAAATTGCTAAATGCAAGTAAGGTAGTACAGTAATGTGGCATATTGATTGCTGTTTTTGACATTCTCGGCGGCTTGAAGCATATCTAATTAAAAATTATTATTTTAAATTGCAGGAATACTACAGGTGTATAGTGTGCAATAGGACTATGTCTGGTATTGTTCCTGCACAAAGCCACCTCGAAGGATCTCCTCACAGAAAAGCTATACGAACTCACATGTACAGCTCAGTCCTTGGCGCATCTAAGAGAGGATCAGATCTATCTTTTGACAGGCTAGACAGCACTTCACAGTGTATGCCGGCAACCAGTTATCAGTCTCCATCTCTTGTGCGGAAAGAAAACACATCAGTCTCGTCACTAAAACCTGTTACTCAGCATGAAACTGGTTAGTTTTTAATGTGTTTTGGCCCTGTAGGTTGGGCTATGTTGTTGTTATTGTTCTGTGCATTATCACATGGCTTGGTTATCTTGAGGTTATCTTGAGATGATTTCGGGGCTTTTTAGTGTCCCCGCGGCCCGGTCCTCGACCAGGCCTCCACCAGGCCTCCACCCCCAGGAAGCAGCCCGTGACAGCTGACTAACACCTAGGTACCTATTTTACTGCTAGGTAACAGGGGCATAGGGTGAAAGAAACTCTGCCCATTGTTTCTCGCCGGCGCCTGGGATCGAACCCAGGCCCACAGGATCACAAGTCCAGCGTGCTGTCCGCTCTGCCGACCGACTTACATCTGCTTGTTATCTTTTAATTTTGGTACAATATTATATATATTGTCGAGCCTGGCTTCAGGACGGGCTCGGGGAGTAGAACAACTCTCAGAACCCTCTCCAGGTATATCATGTATTATAAATGATGTGGTAACTTATTTATAATTTGCAAATCATTTCAACAGGTTGTCTTAATTCACCCCATTCTCAGAGTAAATCCATTATACTAACACACCAAACCCTCCAATCAAACCACCTGGTTATCTAGATATTTGTGATGGCCAGAAAGCATATTCCAATATGCCAGAAAGACTATTATTCCAATAATAGTCTACAGTGGAGCCTCTGTCTATGAATGCCCCAGAGTATAAATTATTTGTTGTTCGAAGTCAATTTTATTGACTTTGATTTCAGTTTCATTGAATTTGACTCGGTGTATGAAGTTTGCCTTGGAGTATGAAGTACTTGTTCAGTATCCACTCAATTTAATTAATGATTTATATGGGGCTATGCCCGAGTCATTAAATTCTGGGCTCTGCTATTATCTGGAGGGTTTAAAATATTGCTAACATTTTAGTCATATTAGGGAGAGCAACAGGATGGATGGTGAGAGGACTTATGGTGGGGGAAGGGGGAACTGGATGGATGGATGGTGGGAGGGGGGGCCCTGAATGGTGGGGGACTAGATGGATGCATGGTCCCTTTCCGTCCGGAAAGGCAAGCAACCTTGCGCGTTGCAGCAACCTAAACTGCGCATGCAATGCCGAAGCTGCTTGCACCCGAATATCAATCTCATTGGACTGAGTGAATTGGAGTACAAGCAAGGAACACCACTCGTAGGACTCCGGGTCAAAGGTGTCACTGGCCCAACAAGCAGCATGGCGGAGGTAAAGACGGTGAGTGTCACCCTGAGACAAGGGGACAGAGCAACCTTCAGACTCGCACAAAGCAAGGTGGGACTCGGAATTCTCTTCCATCGGACCACTGAGCCCCAATGGGAGTTTCCAGGGCCCTTAGGCTGACTAAGGGAAGCCCAGGTGAAGTACTGCTAACCGGTTATCCCAGAGCTACTAAGCAAACAAACTAAAAGCTGAATGCCTGCAAGCATGGGGATCTAGTGGAGGGCCTAGCTCCAGGGAGCCTCTGGGTCTCGCCCAGAAAATGGCGTTTCATTACATTCAACGCTGGTTGTTTTGGTCGATCTTATTTGTCTTAATCTTTTTCATCTGGTTGATGCCAGGGCCGCATTACACCGCTGTCACTGCAGTCACTTTGGCTGGCTGTAATTGGGACTGGAAACGAAAAATCAGGGGGCTAGAAAAATCAACAACCACCGGTCACACACCCTAAACTGCATAGGACATAGGCCTGCTCTGAACTTTGCAAGGTCCACCATTGCTCCATCTATTAAATCCAGAGAATGCACTTTAAAAGGTATTAGACTGGAAATTGCACAGATTGCATTGGACAGAAATTGCTACCCTAGTAGAAATAACAAGGGCTAGAACAGCCCTTGTTATTGTGAGCCACCAGTGTGAGCCACCAGTCACACTGCCAGGCTGAACTGAGCACAGGACGGCAGTGTGAGCTACCAGTCACACTGCCAGGCTGAACTGAGCACAGGCCAACACTGAACTTAGTGGAGGTCCATAATCACTTCACTCACAGGATTGAAAATTTCACAAGAAATATCTTGGTAAAATTTGTGAGCTAGAATGGCAGTGTCCCTGAACTTAGTAAAGGCTCTCATAACTGCCTGCAAAGTTTGGAGATAAACATACGCCTCAAAACATAGGATTATAACTACACTAAGCCTACCATCAAAGTGCAATAGCCAATCATAAGAATATACAAATAGCTAGCAAACACAAAATGTATGAGCATTGACAGCTATAGTAACAGGCAACTAAGAATGCCATGAACTCCTATAGCACAAAAGAATTCAACCTGAACCTCCCTCTGAGTGGATAATAAATAGTCTTCATTTTGATATTTCAAGTCACTTATCACATAACAAAAACACATGAGCTGAACATCATTCATGCTAAGCTCATCCTGGTCATGAATGTCAGACTCCATTCTGAAACCAGGGATCCAAAAGCACCATATTTAAACTAAAGCTACCACTAACTTCACTCCTTTCTACAGGTATTGACTTGTGACGAGGTCATAAGACCACCTTTAGAGATAAGAAAAAAATCAAGCAGTCCATTTTTGGTATTGACCTCTGGTAGTGTCTCGTGAATTAAATGGAGCCTGATGTTGTATTGAAGGTTTGACAGGCATCCAGGTGTGTAACATTGTTTGGCCTGTTTGGAAGGAGTTTTTCTCACTGTATAGTTACTTATGACATGACACTCATCACCTTCCCCGATTCTGAGAGGAGTAGAATTCTGGTACATATATTCTCAGTATGCTCGGCGCCGGTTGGCCGAGCGGACAGCACGCTGGATTTGTGATCCTGTGGTCCTGGGTTCGATCCCAGGCGCCGGCGAGAAACAATGGGCAGAGTTTCTTTCACCCTATGCCCCTGTTACCTGGGTGTTAGTCAGCTGTCATGGACTGCTTCCTGGGGGCGGAGGCCTGGTCGAGGACTGGCCCGCGGAGACACTAAAAAGCCCCGAAATCATCTCAAGATAGGCCATGAGATATTCTTAACCATCTGGTGAGATGGTATTAGCCTTAGGTTATCATTGTACAAGGTCTTGTGCTTCTGAAGGATCCATTTATGGATATGTCTAAGGTAATAATATATTTGCTTGTATTGCATTGTATTGTATAGAATTTGTTTTTCTTTGCAGACCTCCTAGAGGTGGCAATGAAACGTGGTATAGTAGAAGTGAGGATGGTGAATGAGCAGACCTTCATATTCTGCTGTTTGTGTAACATATCGTGTACAAGTGATGCTAACATGACGCAGCATCTGGAAGGAGAACCCCACTGTAAGAAACAGAGGTAAATAAAATAACAAATTATTTGGCTAACTCGAGTAAACAATACATTATAATAATTTATGTACTGTATGTACTTGCTTATTTGGTTTCTATGAGTTATTTTAAGAATTCTTGTTTGTATGGACTTTAACTTTTATTACATGGGCCAAACAGTTTCTGTTTAGTGCAAATTGTTAAATGGAATGAACAAATATTAATTTTCTGAGAGGACTCTCCTCAAGCTTGCCAAGCTATAATGTGTTAAGCATCCAAGCCTTTGGTAATACATCAGGATGCCTGCTCATATAGCCGCCCACCCACACCGCTCGCCCAAAGAGCCACCCATCTGCCTGCCCAAATCCACCCACCTCGCCCAAATAGCCACCCATCTGCCTGCCCAAATCCACCCACCTCGCCCAAATAGCCACCCATCTGCCTGCCCAAATCCACCCACCTCGCCCAAATAGCCACCCATCTGCCTGCCCAAATCCACCCGCCTCGCCCAAATCCACCCGCCTCGCCCAAATCCACCCGCCTCGCCCAAATAGCCACCCATCTGCCTGCCCAAATCCACCCGCCTGGCCCAAATAGCCACCCATCTGCCTGCCCAAATCCACCCGCCTCGCCCAAATCCACCCGCCTCGCCCAAATAGCCACCCATCTGTCTGCCCAAATCCACCCGCCTCGCCCAAATAGCCACCCATCTGCCTGCCCAAATCCACCCACCTCGCCCAAATAGCCACCCATCTGCCTGCCCAAATCCACCCACCTCGCCCAAATAGCCACCCATCTGCCTGCCCAAATCCACCCACCTCGCCCAAATAGCCCTCCCGGCCACCAATCCATCGGGTCGGGCAGTTCGGGTCGTGTCCTCTGCCCAAACCCACCCACTCTGCCTGCTCGCCAGTCGGCCACCAATCCATCCATGATGATATTTGTTTGTTGAACTAGTGAAGAATGGTTGGAAAAATTTAAGAATAGGCATAATATTAAGAAAGGGAAAATTGCCAGAGAATCATTAAGCAGCTGAAGCCAACACAGCAGCAGTGAGCACCAACAAAGCTGATGCAAACATCTAGAACATTGTGTGTGGAGTGTACTGTTAGAACCAGTGTTAAAATGAAGTACACATTGTTAGTGTTAAAATTAAAGATGCAGTAATTTTAGTGTACAATAGTTTTCATAAATTGTATTGTAGTACTCAATATACAGCAGAACTACATAATCAATACAGTGCCAACTGCATAATATAGGTCTGTACGTATTTGCGGTACTGTATTCACAACTCTATGAGAATTCAAGATGAGCATACTTCAACAATAAGGTAAATAAACCTAAAACACAGTATATTTTAGTAGAGTAGTAATATATTGGTACAGTACAGTGGCACCTCGATTAACGAGTTTAATCCGTTCTGGCACCGAGCTCGTTATGTGGAAAACTCGTCTTAAGAAACAAATTTCCTGATTTAAAATAAAGGAAATGAATTTAATCCGTTCCACTCCCAAAAACATCCATACTTGTATGACATTTTTTAATGTAAATATAATACTGCACATGTAATTATAAATGTTTTGTTGTACTGTTTTCATGTTTACTTTACCTTACGAAGAGTTGTTGCTGGCTTGAGGGAGACGATGGGGAGGTGGGAAGGAAGAGAGGGGTTATGGTGTGGCAGGAGAATCCACCTCTGAGTCAGGCGGGCTCTCTTGGGAATTTCACCCCACTGGGACCAGATTGTGGTTCACTATCACTGACTCTTTTTTTTCTCTACTTTTGCAAAGAAAGAGTCTATTGACAATTACTTTTGTTTTTGTTTTAGGATGTTTTTAAAACGAGACGGCAAATTGTCATTAAACATGTTCACACACGAGGTTGTCATTGCTTTATCAGGGTGAAGTTTTTCCAAGACTGCGGTCACCTTTTCAAACATTCCCAACACTTCCCTGATCTCACTTGAAGAGGCAGCAACATCCTCCCCTACCTCCTCTTCCCCTGATGAGAGCTCTTGTACCTCCTCTTGATTAAGCTCCTTCTGAAGTTCCAGGAGTTCCTCAGTAGTCAGTTCCTCACTGTGCTCCTCCACTAACTCTTGCACATCAGTAGCATCCAACTCCAGACCCAAAGTTTGCCCCAGAGCAACACTATCATCCACTAGATGCACTTCCTGGTCTTCCACAGATGCAGATGCAAGTGCAGGACCGAAACCTTCGAAGTCTCGCTCAGGGACACACTCAGGCCACAGGTTTTGCCATGCAGAGTTTAGGGTCCTCTGTGTCACTCCTTCCCAGGCCTTATCGATCAAACGTAAGGCACCCAGGATATTGAAGTGGTTCTTCCAGAATTCTTTGAGGGTCAGCTCTGTATTGTCTATCACATAAACACACCTCTCCAATGCCTTCATGTAGAGTTTCTTAAAGTTTGCAATGACTTTCTGGTCCATAGGTTTGAGGAGTGGCGTGGTATTGGAAGGAAGAAACTTGGTGATGAACTGATTTTTGGGAAACAATTCTTCTTGCATCTGTGGAGGATGTGCAGGAGCATTATCAAGCACAAGCAAGGCCTTGAGTGGCAACTGCTTCTCTTCAAGATATTTCCTCACTGAAGGGCCAAAAACATCATTGACCCATTCAGTGAAGAATATCCACGTGACCCAGGATTTCTTATTGGACCTCCACATCACCTTCAGTCGTGCCTTGTACACTTTACATGCCTTGAACACGCGTGGATTTTCTGAGTGGTAGACTAGCAGCGGCTTGACCTTGCAATCGCCACTTGCATTGGCGCAGAGCACGAGAGTAAGCCGAGCCTTCATCGGTTTGTGGCCAGGCAAAGATTGTTCCTCCTATGTGATGTAGGTCCTCTTCGTCATTTTCTTCCAAAACAGGCCAGTCTCGTCACAATTAAAAACTTGTTGGGGCAAGAACTCCTCTCTGGCAACAAATTCCTGTAACTCTGGTACAAATTTCTGGACAGCAGCTTTATGTTGCACGTCCCCATGTCCCCATGTCGCACAACACTGTGGATACCGCTTCTCTTCCTAAATTTCTCAAACCATCCACGGCTTGGCTTGTATATCTCCTCCTCTTCAGACGACGCACCTGGTTTCTTCCTGACAAGATCCACATACAACTTCTTGGCCTTTGCACAAACAAGAGCTTCAGAGACTATCGCCATGTAATTGCCTTTCATTCATCCAGACCAGCAGTAGCTTTTCAACCTCTTCTAGGATTTTTGGACATTTCTTGGTGACCTTGGTAACTCCTTTAGCCACCTCAAGCGTCTTAAATTGTTCCTTCCTCTTCAGAATGGTACAAATCGTTGATGAGGACCTGCCATACTCCCTGATGAGATCAGTCACACGGACACCACGCTCGTACTTTATGATTTCCTTCTTCACTTCCACGGTAGTTGTCACTTTCTTCCCCTTCCCAACACTGACTTTAGCAAGCAGCTTCTTAGCGACATCGTGCGTTACAAATTGCAGTCACAAAACCATAAAAACCCAAAGAAAAGTGCAAATAAATCCAGAGGGGGATGCTTGTCGTGCACGATACAACAACAACACTGGCGTCGGAGGCGTCCGAGAATTTGTGAGAACCCGCAAGACGCTGGGAAGCACCATGGGGTTTTGCTCGATAATAGAGGTGAAGCTCCTCAATAGAGACAAATTTGCTGCGAGTGGCTCGCTCATTACTTGAAATGCTCGTAGATAGAGCCACTCGTTAATCGAGGTGCCACTATATATAATATAATAATGCATTTATATTGTGTACACAAAAAAAAGACAGAGGTAAATGCCTCCTGGAGGCATCACGTCTTTCAACGATTCCATTACCGCAACGAACCGGGGTTTGTCCCATATGCTTTGCCGAAACTAGGTTGCACCGTATTTGTATTTCCAATTTTTTATTCTTGGAGGGAGTGTCGTTCCCTTTGTTGGTTGCCCCGCTTGGGGGGGGGGTGGAGGCTGGCTCTGTTTGCCCACGCTTGGTTCCACGATTTGTGGGCAGTTCGGGTCGTGTTCTCTGGCCTGTGGTAGTGTTGGGCGGCTCCTCATCTTGGGGGAGGGGGGGGGTTGGAGCTGGAGGGGCAGGCTTCTTCCCCTTTGCTTATGTCAGGTCATCTGGCTCCAGTCCCGCAATGGGACTGTGCAGATTTTCGGTTCGTTCTGGTTTTGTCCTGTCTGTACCAACTGGCTTCCTTCTGGATGACTCTGTCCCAGATTCGGTTTCTTTTCGGGCTGGGTTGTTGGGGTAGTGTGTCTGGCCCTTTGGGACACGTGTTGGCATGTCCGGCTTCTTTTCGGGGTTCAAAGACTGGTTCATTTTTGTTGTGGGGTGACCTGCTTCTTGTCTTCATTGCCTTTTCTTTGGCCGGCTTCTTGCACCTCGCATCTCCTCGTCTTACCAGGTTCGGGGTGTCCCATCTATGTCTGCTAGGTATTCAGGTGTTGGGCCACCTCAACTGCTAGTTGGTGTGGGCTCCCAGCCAGTCTGCTTGTCTGCTTGCCGGAGGGGGTGGTTTTTACCTGGTTCACCGAGTTCGGGTTTCTGGTGAACTGGTGGAAGTCTCGTCTGATTCTGTCCTGGTTTCGGACCTGACTCAGCCTCGTGTGGGACTCGCGGTTCGCTTCCATCTCACTCCTTCTAGAAGCATTTCTGCGGCTGCAGTCCCACTTTCAGCTGTTTCTGAAGGGTTCTTGGGTCACTCGGTGGTTGCTCGAGCAGTTGTGCGAGGTCTATGCTTCGCCATGCTAGTTTACCCGCCTAGTCTGGTCTGGCTTCACTGTCTGTTCTGGTTCCTTCCACCTCTCTCGCGATTGCTGGGTTTGGACTCTGTGGCCCTTGCATTGGTTGCTGCGTCACCGGCTTGCTCTTCGGGATTTTCGGGGTTCAGTGCCCTGGCGACTCCTGATTCTTCACTCGATGTATTCACGGATTTGTCGTCTCTCGGTTGGGGGTTTGTGATCAGTGCTCACCAGGCCGACCAGGGGCAGTGGACTCCATCCTTCCGTCGTGCTCGCAGCACGGTGCGGGAGTTTGCAGCAATTTGGCCGTCACTTTGGAGGGTTTGGGTCGCTCGGGGCTCTGCGATCCGGATCCATTCGTACTGTTCTCTGGTGGTTCATTGTCTGAAATGTGGGGGTTCTCTTTGGTCTTTGGCTCTTTGGGGAAGGTTGCTTCGAGTGACTCGTCTGCTGGATTCTCATGGTTTGGTCCTCCGTGCGGTTCATATCCAGGGAGTGTACAACGTCCTGGCAGACAGCCTGTCTGTCTCTGTTCATTCCCCTGTCCACGGATTGGACGGTCGTCACCGGCTCATTCAGTTAGGTCTGCTACTGGCTCCTGGAGGTGGACCTCTCTGCGTTGGTGTGGTCTCGGCGTCTTCCGATATATGTGGCACCCTTCCCCGACTGCAGAGCCGATGGTGGATGCTTTTCAGCAGGACTGGTCGAGGAGGGGTTACCTGTACCTCTTCCTCCCAGTCCAGATATTGCTTTGGGTTCTGGCTCTGTTGAACTCTTACCGAGTGAGTCATCCTTGTGGCCCAGCCTTGGTTTCGGGCGCTGTTTGCTTGGTGTCCAAACCAGGTGCATTTTTTTCGGCTCCGCCTCTTTCAGGAGATCGGACTGGACTGTTACATGGCTGGTTCAGTCTACTCCTCTGCTCTTCGCATCTGGTCTTCATGACGCGGGTGTATCACCATTTGTATGGTGATCAGGTGGCTTCTTTGATGGTGTCCCACTTGCAAGCTTCGTCTTGGCGACAGTATAAAGTCTCCTGGTGATCTTTTTGCCAGTTTCTCTTGCTTTGCAGGTTGTCTTCTATTTTTGATTAGGTTGTTTTCTCCTTCTTGGCTTTTTGAGGACCGTCATTTGATGCTGAATACTGTCGCCTCTTATTGTGCGGCACTGGCAAAGCCGCTTCAGCTTGCGTTCAGGATGGATGTCAGTTCCGCCACTTTCCGTAAACTTTCTCATGCTTTGTTTCACCTCTGGCCCGCCTGAGCTGTCCTGGTCCTTGGACTGGGTGCTCTTTCTTTCTTTCTCCTTCCCAGTTTGTGGTGGCCCCTTCGGTTCAAGATGGTTTTCCAAGACTGTTTTTTTGTTGGCAATGGCCTCTGGGGGTCAGGTTGGTGAGCTTTACGCTCTCCTCTGGCACAGGGGATTCTGCTTTTTCAGTCCTGGTGGTCAGTTTGTTCGGTTGCAGCCATCTCCTTTTGTGGCGAAGAACGATATGGCCACTTTCCAGATGGGCTCTTGGGTCTTCATGCTTGGTTGGTCAGGCTGAGGGTGTATAATGTGTTGTGGCCGGTTGTGGCTCTTTGCGTTATCTGCGTGCCACAGCTTCTGTGACCAGGGATGTGCTTTGGGTTGATTCGGTTTCCCTCGTTCCCTGTTTCAGGTCTCCGGGTCTCTCAGGTCGTTTCAGGGTTAAGTCTAGCCAGCCTGTGGTCTACCCTCGTGCCCATGATGTTCATAAGTTTGCTGCTTTGGCTGCTGTTTTCAGCAACATGTTTTGGGGTGACATTTGGGCGCAGGGATTTTGGAGGTCGAAGAGGATCCTGGCCGTCCGTTACCTGATCAGTCTTCCTGGTCCCAGTCATTTGTATATGGCTTTGGGTAGTTAGGTACAAAGGTACCAGCCAGTTGTCTTGACTTCGAGTTGAGGCACGCATGGCAGCTGCCTCCCTGGTACATCCCTCTTTTACTTGTCTTTGGTTAGGTAGCACCAGGGACTAGGAGGGGCTCCCCACAGAAAACCAGCGCTGAATGTAATGTAACGCCATTTTCTGAGTGAGCCCCGGAAGCTTCCTGGCATCCTTCCTCCCGCCAGTCAGTGGTTTCCTTTTTGTTTTGAGGCTCAGCCTCCGATCTGGAGGTGTGAGTAGCTGGTACCGGGGGGAGGGGGGGGAGTCCGAGGTGCTTCCCTCCCTCTCCTGGGTAAGAGAGGGCTGCATGGACAAGCGGCACGGCAGCGTTGTGTGATGTTTGCTTGTTTCTATAGGTTGGGGAAGTTCTGTCTCTTGTTGGTCTCTGGTTGCAATTTTTTCTTAGCATGTGGGATCTGTTTTGTTATGCTTACCTCTCTGGGTGCTAACCCTGGTTGATGGCAGACATGGAATGCCCGCAAGTACAAGGTTTTCATAGGCCATTGCTCCCTGTGCCTCTCTGAGGGGAGCTGGGTCCTGGCTCGTGATCCCCGGTAAGCTAAACTCCAATTGACTGATGGCCCAGACTAATATATCTCATATCAGTCTGATGCCCAGAAAATGACGTTTCATTACATTCAACTGTTTTTTCTTTTAGTATTTCACCATCCATGTAGTTAAAATTGAGTCTGAAACACTCTCTTTCCCCCGTTCACCTACCTGCCTGCTGCTCAGCAAAAGCTTTTTTAGAAGATCTCAGCTGTGTCTTGGATATTGATCACCCTGACCCTGGTCCACTGAGTCTTTGAGGAGTGGTATCTTGAATGAGCAACAGTAGCTTATTCAAAAAGGAACTTTTGATCCAAACTTGATGCTTAATATTTCTCAGTCCATGTAAGGCATGTGTTTGTATTTACTATTATAAGAATTAACAGTGATCATATACAGTATTTAAAGTTAAATTTGTTTTTTAATCAAACTGTTTCTTGCTAATAAGGTGACTTTTCACAGGATGACATTTGCAAAGGACCCCTCCACTGAAGTAGCAATACCAAAGAAGACACCAGCATCACTTTATTACAGTACTTCCCCATCAATGCTGTCCTATTCATCTAACCCAGAAAAAGAACTCGATTTTCTAAAATGTGATAATTATTCACCACCTAAAGGTTAGTCAACATGCATTCAACTTGGCATATTGCACCTTTTAAGATTCTTTCATATTTGTAAATGTAATAAATAAGTATCCCATCAAAGAAATATCTACATTTTCTGGGGGGAGCCCCGTCGGCTCCCCGGAGCTTTCCCAGGCTGATATGCTAATGTCAGACTTTGGCATCAGTCATGTGTATGCAGTTCTTAGGCCTACCGGGGACCACGGCCAGAACCGGGCCCCCCTTAGAGAGGCAAGGGGAGCAATGGCCTATAGAAACCCCCATGTGGTTGGAAGCATTCTATGTCTGCCATCGACCGGAACAGGCACCCAGAAAGGTAAGCGCCTCAAAACAAACCCCTATTCTGGTTAAAATTGCTACCAAAAGCCAAACTAGTGGATAGAACTCCCCAACAGAAAACAAGCAAACTAGTGTGACGTCACACGTCGCTGCGCCGCTGTCTGCGCAATTTCCCCCCTCCCCTTGGAGGCTTGGCACACGTTCTGTTGATCCTGCACGCTTGAATGGCGAGAGACTTGGTCGGCGTTTCAGGTTTTCCTGGGGGGCGACTTCGAGTATCTCAATGCTTTCTTTTTTCGCCCCTGCCCTTCCGCGAGATGTTGGTGTCATGCAGCTTCACGTGCAGGTTCCTTCCCTTTCGGCTGCCTTGGTGGCAGAGGATTTGCGTTCTCGTGGCCTGCTTGCTTCAGCCCTGCATTAATTTCCCTCCTTGAGCTGTCTTCGGACTGGCTTGAGTTGGATGTGGGGGCGCTTGGGGCCGCTGCCGTTTGCGGTGCAGGCGCCGTCTGCTTTGTTGAAGCTCTTTGCGCCGGTCTTGCGTGATGAGGTTTCGTGGTTCTGTGCTTCTTGCCTAGCATGTCGGCAGGCGGTACTGGCTTCTTCCTTAGATTCCGCTTGGGCCCTGGCTCTTCGGTTGTCTTCGCCTTTTTGTCCGTTGCTGTTTGCCGAATCTGCGGTGGTGCAGTGCCTGCAGACGACCTCAGTTAGTTGTCGGCCTATGTCTTGAGTTGTTGATGCTCCAGTGGGCTCATGGGGGACTTCCCGTGAAGGTCGTGCCAGGGCTCGGGAATCTTTTCGTTATGGAAGTCCATTGGTGCCAGATTTGGGCCAGGCACAGCCTATAGTTCCAGCTGTTTCCGGTCTGTGCAAGGATCGCCCTCTTCGCTACTTAGGTGCTCGCAAGGCGTGTCGGCCTTTCTGCGGTTCGTCCCATTGATGAGGCGATGAGGGGGCGGCTCACCCTGTTTGCACGATCTTGGTCTCGCGATTCGTTGGCTTTTTGGGTCGTTTCGTGCGGCCTGTGGTGACATTGGGCGACTCCACCTCCCTTGGAGGGGGGGGGGGGTTTGTGGCCAGAAGGGCAGGCCTCTTCTCCAGCGCGCTGTCAGGTCATCTTGGAGTGGGTTCGCTTTGGCGTGGTTGAAACGACGGCGTCCCTCAGGTGAGTTCCGACCGTTTCCGGTCCCGAAATGGGACGGCGCGGACCTCTGGTTCATTCTGGACTTGTCCCGTCTGAACCCAAGGGTTTATTGCCCTTCCTTCAGGATGACTACCCTATCCCAGTCTTCTGTTGGAGCCAGGAGCTTGGATGGTGTCCCTGGACCTCAAGGACGCGTATTGGCACGTCCCGGTTCATCCGAGGTTCAGGGACTGGCTCGGTTTTGTTGTGGGGCGTCAAGGTTACCACTTTCGTTGTCTTCCCTTTGGGTTGAATCTGGTGCCTCGTGTTTCCACACGCTTTACTCGGGTCGTGGTGTCCCGCCTGCGTCTGTTAGGTGTTCGGGTTCTGGCTAGTTTGGGCTCCCAGCCAGTCCGCGTGTCTGCTCACCAGGGATTTGGTTCTTCCCAGCTCGCTGGTTTCGGGTTCTTGGCGAGCTGGAGGAAGTCATGCTTGATACCTGCTTGATAGGGTTCCTGGAGTTCTTCTACTCCCCAAGCCCAGCCCAAGGCCAGGCTTGACTTTGTAACAAACTAGTTGTTGTAGGAATGATCCAGAATGTTCTATCTACACATGGAAGAGTGGGAGGTGGAACCATGTGTAGGGACCTGAGAGCACGGGAGCATCCCCGGGGGGGATTGACGGTTGAAATAACTGGCCCCTTTGTATCACAATTTCGTATAATGAATTATTCCACATTATTCAGTCAGTCAGAGGACAGTCAGCCAACCAAGACGACTCCAGAACTTCATAACGAACACAGTACGAATTAGAAGAGCTGTACACAAAGGAACGCCGATCCATCACGAAGGCATAATACGGGTCGCGCAGGAGGTAAGCAGCCAAGACTTCCTGAACCTCAGAAGACGAGACCCATGAAGCCGGAAACCTCCGGAAAGACGGAACCAAAGAACCCGCAGGTTCATTGAACCGAACCCGGGGAGGGGTGGACACCAAATCCAATTCGTACGCGGAGGGAGTGAAAGAGAATCCATCTCTTTGTAACACCAAGCCCCGCTTGGAGGGCAGAAAAACCCAGGCGGGGTCCAATGGGGGCCCAAGACCCCCAAGCCAACCCCTCCCCAACCCCGGGAACCTCGCCCTGAGGACCCAGGGTCGAGCCGGCCTCCAAACCTCCCACCTCCAAAGTAAATGTGGGAGCTGCCGAAAAAGCAGGAACGAACGGGGCCCACTGGCCAGACCCAGAAGCTCCGGCAGAAGGACCAGGCTCAAATGCCTCTGCCGCAACCCCAGAAGGGGACACCCCTGAGATCGTCCCGAGTCTCAACACCAACTAGACCCTGCCTCGACTCCGAAACCCTCAGACGCTTTGGAGTCGGAAGCATGGGGGAAGGGGGCGCTGGATGAAATATATACACCACAAGAACAGCGATGGGGGACCACAAAGGCAGACCCTCCCACCAGACAGGTAAACAAACGCAAAAGAAAAACGCCACAAGAGGACAACGTACCCAGGTGGAACAGAGCCGGCCGCTATTATTGGTGAAAACTGGCATATAACAGTGCAGTGTTACTGCACTGTTATATAGTATATATATACTATAGTAGCCGAGCGGATAGCACGCTGGACTTGTGATCCTGTGGTCCCAGGTTCGATCCCGGGCGCCAGTGAGAAACAATGGGCAGAGTTTCTTTCACCCTATGCCCCTGTTACCTAGCAGTAAAATAGGTACCTGGGTGTTAGTCAGCTGTCACGGGCTGCTTCCTGGGGGTGGAGACCTGGTCGAGGACCGGGCCGCGGGGATACTAAAAAAAGCCCCAAAATCATCTCAAGATAACCTCAAGTACCCCACGCCCCTGCCAGTGATGAAATCTACCTTTTATCCAGAGACAAACAAGGGTAAGAAAACCCCAGCTGACCCCAAGGGCGGCCAAATACCGAGCAGTAAACGGCACAGTGGAGGTAGAACCTGAGGTGACTTGTGGAAGGTGGCCCCAAGTCACTAGGACAGTACTTACAGGGCACCTAGGGAAGCCGACCCTAGGCGCATGCAACCCGAGTTCTGTGGAATATCACTCCTGGCTCATGCACCACCTGAAGGGACAGCCCACACCGCAAGGCACAGAACTATAACGAAAAACTAGAGCCAGAGGCACGACCCCACCAGATTCCCATCAGGCAAGAACTGTAGGTTGGGTCGCCGGCGGATTTGTCTGGGGCTCCCCCTTCCCCCTCCCGGGGAGGAGGGTTACGCAATCAGCAGCGCAGCGACATGGTGACGTCATGCTAGTTTGCTGATTTTTGTTTGGGGAATTCTGTCCACCTGTTCAGCTTTCGGTCGCAATAATTTTACCAGAATAGGGATTTGTTTTGGGGCGCCTACCTTTCTGGGTGCATCATGCTGTCTGGGTGCCTCCCAGTGCCCGAGGTGCTGTCCCGGTCGATGGCAAATATAGAATGCTCCCAACCACAGGGGGGTCTCTATAGGCCATTGCTCCTCGTGCCTCTCTAGAGGGGGCCAGGTTCTGGCTTGTGGTCCTCGGTAGGCGAGAACTCCATGCATTGACTGATGCCAGACTGATATACATATCCATCCAGCCTGGATAGCTCGGGAAGCTGACGGGGCTCCCACAGGAAATAATTTATTTGCAATGTCGGAGGCGTCCGAGAAGCATCGGGAACACACCATGTGGTCATCTCGTTTATCAATCGAGCGGTCGCCAAACGAGACAAATTATCGGCGATCGGCACGCTCGTTACTCAAAATGCTTGTATTTTGAGGCGCACATCACTGGAGGTTCCACTGTATGTCATCATTACAGATCTCCAGAGCTATTATGTCAACTTTTTATCAGTTGTCAAGTATTAATTCTCCCACCTTCAGGTGTTCTTTCACCAGAATGGAAACTCCTTCACCTTATCAAATTTTTCTGTCTTCTCTCCATGTTGTGTAGCCCCTTGGAAATACAAGCTTATTAAAAATAATATTCTCAAGTTTTGTTTCTATTGTGCAAAAATCTCTGGCATCTTGTGCTGTATTATATTATTTAGCCATAGTATTTATCTCATTCAATCTGTGTTGGTACATAAGATTTTTAGGCACATGTTTACACTCGCTCCCTTTGTCATTTATTCTCCCCCCCTTTCCATTATGATTTTGATATCATGTACTATTTTGCAGAATACCAATTTCCGTCCCCTTGTAGAAAAAAAAAACCATTCATTCCTACCCTCATTTAGATGTTTTGCTTCAGTATGGATTGGTTTTATCTTTCTCTTCCCCTTTTGAAAGGCCTCATCTTAATGACTATTGTAATTACTGTACAGTACATGTATTTATTTGCCAAGCTGCACATCAGAAGTTACAATAAAAGTAACTTTTCATGTTTAATTTCAGACTTGGTAGAATCTGCCATAGAGGATGGCATTGTTACAAAAGCGGAGGGGATTGACTCATCTTTAATTTGCACAGTTTGTAAGACACCTTGTACTGGAGAAACACCTATGAAACAGCACCTTCAAGGTAGCAGTCATCTCAAGAAAATGAGGTAAGACCAAGGAAAATGTAAATGTTTTTTTCCTAGGGGAACCCCTACGGCTCCCTGGAGCATATCGGACTACTGTATGTTATATTAGACCGGGACATTAGCTATGGAGCTCAGACCTACCAGGGACAAGCACCAGATCCTGGCCCCTTCAGAGAGGTTTCAAGGAGCAATGGCCCTGGAAAAAAATCTGTGATTAGGGGTTTTCCTTATCTGCCATCGACCGTGGTTAGGCACCCAGAAAGGTAGGCAAAACAAAACAAACTCCGCATAGTAAGAAACTAACAAAAAAAAAAAACAGAGATAGAACTCCCTACAATCCCAAGGAAACGAGTAAATTTAACACACTACTGCCGCGCCGCTCGTCCGTGCAGCCCTTACCTTCCCGAAAGGGGGAGGGAGGCCCCGGGCCTCACCGCGCCGGCTGCAAAGCACTCCAGTTCGTAAGCTAATGTCAACCGGGACAGACGCTTGTCTGGCCTCGGTTTCCTAGGCGGTGTTTGCCTTTGTGGCGTTCACTGCTGTGTTTTTGTGTTGCGTGGAGGCCAGGGGTTCCTCATCAGTACCGGGGCATCATGCACTTATGGGCTTCCTTCCCTAAGCGCGCTGTGAGTACTGCCCCTGCGTTTCATTAGATTCAACGCTGATTTTATATGATAGTCTGCGACAAGTTTGTGGTCAAGATTCACTCCCAAAATATCTCATATCCTGAACTCTTTATTACATAACATTTGTCCACATTATGTTCCATTATCTTGCTATTACTCCATGTGCCAATTTTGTCCTGTCATTTTGGAAGGTAGGGTAAGTGTTTAGGTCATTAATTCTTCTCATTATCTTAGCACCACCAGCAAATGAAAATCCATGTAAGCATATATGTGTAGTTAGATTCTACTGTACATGTACAGTATAATGGGGAAAAAAAAAATGGGTGCTGGATCAGTTATGTGTTACATCTATAGAGTTCCTTGCTCTGAATTATGTCCTCTTATGTCCTCTGCTAATGGCTTTTAAATTTTTATGTTTAAAAGTTTATCATCCATACTATTAGTCTTCATGTTGCTCCCCAAATATGCTTAAGCTAACAGAATTCGTATTTATTCATTCATGTATAAGAGGGTACAATGGGTTGTGTAAGTACAGATTTTAGCGAGTAAATGATACATTTTTTTTGCTGAGCAGTAGAGGTACTTGACTAGGTTTGCTTGCAGGGGTTGAGTTTTGGGTCTTTGGTGCTATTTGGTCCCGCCTCTCAACTGTCAATCACTGGTGTACAGGTTCTTGAGCCTACTGGGTTCTATCGTATCTTCACTTGGAACTGTATATGGAGTCTACCTCCACCACATCACTTCTTAAGGTAATTACCTAAGTGTTGTTACAGGATGAGAGCTACGCTCGTGGTGTCCCGTCTTTCCTGCACTCTGTTGTATAACACTTAAAAACTGTTGACAGTTTTGGCCCCCACCACCTTCTCACCTAACTTGTCCCAACCATCTACCACTTTAAGAAAGTGAATTTTCTTACGAACAAATCCACAAGGGCTGTGACCATGGGTTCGAACCTACGTTCGAGAGGATCCATGATGCGCCTTTATCGACAGAGCTACGACATGGAATAATAATTGTATCCAGGAAATCAACTTGACCTACCACGGATCCTGCAGGCTCTCCGAGACACAAACCAGGTTTTTACACAATTCCCCCATGCACCCGAGCTCTGTCAATAAGCTATTCTACCTCTTCGCTCTTACTGAAGAGGTAGAATAGTAAAGGAGAAGGCTCTCTCCTTATGAATTTCACCCCGCTGGGGTGAAATTACTATACTTAGCAAGCAGCTTCTTTGGCAACATTGTGGGTTGCAAATTGTAGTCACAAAACCACAAAGAAAAGCACAAATAAATGCAGTGATGCTTATCCTGCGTGATAAAATAACACTGTCATCGGAGGCATTCGAGAATTTGAGAGAACAAGCGGAATGCTAGGAAGCACCATGTGGTTTTCTTGTTAACCAAGCGGAAGCTTGTCAATCGAGACAAATTTTCTACGAGGGGCTCGCTCCTTATCTGAAATGCTCGTAGATGGGGCTGCTCGTCACTTGAGGTCACTTGTAATAATAATAATCAAAACAGAATAATAAACCAAAAAAAGAACTTGGCTTACACACAAAAATAAACAAAACTAATATTAATGTTGCTCAAGAAAAAACAAGGGTGACTATACACTCTGTACAATAGGCTGCAAGTCCACCGTCACGCATTGTAGCTAGACCACATTGAGGTCTTGGGTGGTGGCTGAGTGGACAGCGCTCTAGACATGTGGACCTAGGGACCAGGGTTTGATCCGGCACCGCCGGAAAAACAAATGGGCAGTTTCCGTCACCCTGATGCTCCTGTTACCTTGCAGTAAATAGGTACCTGGGAGTAAGACAGCTGCTACAGGCTGCTTCCTGAGGGTGTGTGTGTGTGTGTGGGGTAAGGGGGGAAATAGTAGTTGTAACAGTTGATTGACAGTTGAGAGGCGGGACGAAAGAGCAGAGCTCAACCCCCGCAAGCACAACTAGGTGAATACATCGAGTGAAGGAGACGTGTAGAACCCGAGAGAGCTCCAGGAGTATTCTAGTTACCGAGTCGTCGTCGTCGTTGGTGTTGTGGTTTGATTTAGGTACTCGGAACAAAATGTCCATGTAGCACTGGTTATAGTGAGCCCGTAATAGAGTTCATTTATTTGCGATAACCTTCTTTCTGTGATATTTGGGTCAAAGTTTTTAAATGGAGGTGGGGCTCCTTTACCTGTTTCTTTTTCGCTTCTGTTTTAGCGAACTGATTTTAGTCTTGTTTTAATAACATTATCTTGGTGGCAGATGTAGATGCAGAATGTTTACTAGTGTGTCCCATTTTTCAACTGCTTTTCTAATCATTGTAGTCGCTGTGGAATTTGCAGCTGATCACGTTGAATTTATGTTGAGTTTGATGCACAGGGTTTCAGTTGCTTCACATTCCAGTAAGTAATGTAATAGTGGTGCCTCTGCATCTGTTCCACAGATATGACTCTTTAACTATTGGGTTTATTACCTCCCAGCAGCACTTGTAATGAAGTCCGAGTCTGTGTATGGCTACTGCAACGTCTCTGGATATCTTTTTGCAAGGCTTGAAAGAAGAGTACCCAGTGGTAGTTCACACCACATCGCAGTGGGCTTTCCTTCCGCTATTTTGGCTCTGTGACTACTTTTAATCATTGAGGATTTTCTTCTTGATTTGCTCCTTAATCTGTGAAAAACTTTAGGTATTTTAACCTGTACAACATGTAGAGCAGTAGCAGTTTTTGCTAGCGAGTCTGGCTCTTCATTACCATATATGCCAATGTCACTTGGTATCCAATTTAGGGTGATTGACAGCCTTAGATTGGGGATTTCTTTTTCTACTTGCTTGGTGTCCGCACCAGGGGGTTTTCCCATGGCTCCGCCACTTTTACGTGGTCGGTCTGGTTTGTAGCGGGGCTGGTTCAATCTTCTCGAGTCTTCTGGTCTGGTACATTTGACTCGAGTCTCTCACCATCTGGTTGGTGGTCAGATGACTTTTTTAAATTGTCCCACCTGCATCCTTCGTCTTCGCAGCGGTATGGGTTTTTTCTGGTGGTCCTTTTTTTTTGTCTTCGTAGGTGTACTGCGCTCTTTGTTGTCGTGGTCTTGTCCTTCTCTTGTGGTGATTCAGGGCCGTCTTCTGGCTGCACACCGTCGCCTTGTCTCGTGCGGCACTGGCGCAGCAGCTTCGGTTTGCTCCGGTTTTGGTGTTCCTTCTGCACCGTTCGCGGGTTGTCTCGGGCATTGTTCCCCTCTGGCCTGTTCATGCTCCACCTGCGCTGTCCTGCTCTTGGGCAGGGTGCTCTTTTCTCTATACCCTTCGGTTTGTTATGGCTCCTTCGGTTCCTGAGGGATCCCTGGGGTTGTTGCTGCTTGGTTGTTGGGCCGGGGTGCTTCTTGTGTCCGGTTGCAGCTCACTGCCATTCTTTGTGCGCCTTGGCCTCTGAGGTTAGGCTGTGCTTTGGGCTGATCTGGTTTCCCTTCCCTCTTCTCGGGCTCGGGTCTCTCCGGTCGTCCGCTGGGTCCTGTTGTCTGGCCGGGCTGCGGTCTCTCCCCGTGCCCTTGACGTTCGTAGCTTTGCTGCGCTTGCTGCTGTCATGGGTGGCATGTCTTTGGCTGACATTCGGACACGGTGTGGGGGTTTTCTATTTTGCTTTCCCGACTGCAATGCGTACGTCGCCAATGTACATGTGGCAGACGCTTCACGAAGCTGTCAATCAGTAGAGAAAATACGAGAGCAATCATACAGGGCCTGGGAGCAAGGTCGAGTTAGTCCTTGAGGGTCTGTTCTCATACTAGCCTCACCTGGTCCTGGTCTACGTTGATCGTTGGAATCTCCTCAATGATTTAACACTTTAAGGGACTCCTAGGGTCCTCATCACATTTATAGTTTAGTGAATTAGGCAACTCGGTGTTGGAGACACCTGGAGCTGAAGGCTTGAGTAAATAGTTGGCAGTATTCAGAAGTGGTTCAACGGAAACACCGCATAAAGCTTAACAGTAGTTTATTTACTAACTTCCAATTTTTTGGATTAGTGCTGGATTTACTAATGTAAATCCAGCACTAATACAAAGGGTGCTGGATTTACTTTAGATTGGCATCAGAAAGGCTATGGTTGCATTAGCGAGACTCTTGACGTCGGGTTAATTGATACGGATCCACTCGTGGCGAAACACCTAACTTAACACAGTTGACAGCCAATCATTAACACGGCAAACCTAATTGCCGGTATGCAGAGGGATCACAAGAGTTCCAACCGGATACTTGATTCTTGAGGTCATCTTGAGATGATTTTGGGGCTTTAGTGTCCCCGCTGCCCGGTCCTCGACCAGGCCTCCACCCCCAGGAAGCAGCCCGTGACAGCTGACTAACACCCAGGTACCTATTTACTGCTAGGTAACAGGGGCATTCAGGGTGAAAGAAACTTTGCCCATTTGTTTCTGCCTCGTGCGGGAATAGACTGCCTCGTGTGGGAATCACAAATGCACTGTCAATGGGACAGGCAATAACATGCACAATAATAATATCACACAATAACTAAATGTGTGGTGTATGTGAAGCTCACATTCACAGACGAGTGTAATGTCGTGATACCACACAGATAAACACACATACATCGTTGGGGTGTCTCCACCTATACCTGAGTCAGGTATGAGAAAGTGAGAACTGTGGTTGATTCCTCAGATCAACACAGACAGACACAATAAAACAATGACAAGATCTTGTACTTACAGGTAGGGCACCTCTCTTATTCACACACTCTCTCAGGCACATTTATGCAAGAACTCGTAGGTGGCCTGATAGCTGGTTTCCTCGTTATGACATGAGACCATTGGCGACCGGCTTTCCCACGAACCGTACTTGACACGGGGGTACCCGCAGGAGGGCGTGCTGTATGTCTAACCGACACACGCACACACTTGGTGGCACTGGCGATGAGTAAGGGTGGTGACGTCACGTGGTGTGAGGCTGGTGGCTCGAGGTACCGAAGTAATGAGGTACTAGCTACACGCTTTGGACAGTGGTGGCTGACGGCTGTAGGTTATATGGTCACCATGTAGGTACACTGTGGTAAAAGTCACACACAGGTTACTTAAGCAGCGGCACTCCTTAGTTCACTCTAGGTCACTCACAACGATCTCAATTTGTCACCAGGGGTTACCTGATACCAGTTTGTTTCGCTCTGGTGATTTGTCACTTAGGCTTCTGAACAATATAGTCACGATCGCAATTCTGGGCGAGCGTTGGTATATCGAAAAGATGCTGAGTTTAACTTGACGGTGAGGAATGGACGGTGTTCAGTCTATTGGCCGATAGACAGAACAAGACACGTCCTCTGTGTAAGGGCTTTCTCACGTGAATGCACTTGCCAGCGGCTGTAGGGCATCTCGTGGAACACACACAAGGGATTACAATTGACCAATGGCATTGCAGCAAAAGAGCGGGAACCAATCATATTGATCATATTGGAGCCGGTCGGCCGAGCGGACAGCACGCTGGACTTGTGATCCTGTGGTCCTGGGTTCGATCCCAGGCGCCGGCGAGAAACAATGGGCAAAAGTTTCTTTCACCCTAGGCCTCTGTTACCTAGCAGTAAAAATAGGTACCTGGGTGTTAGTCAGCTGTCACGGGCTGCTTCCTGGGGGTGGAGGCCTGGTCGAGGACCGGGCCGCGGGGACACTAAAAAAAGCCCCGAAATCATCTCAAGATAACCTAAGAAGATCATTCCCTGATCAGTAGCAGAGGTGTCACGACCATGTCACAGTTGTTATTCTCCATTGCGCCGGTTGAGGCTGACCCCAGAGGTCAGTCTGTCGCCTCGCTGGCGTTCTCTCTACTCTCTCACGCTGGCACCTCCTGTGTACTCACTGACCCTGTAGCAAGTATGCTTAATTTCCCTGTATCTACTTCCTGCCTGGACATACGGCGACCTCCGTATTATAAATGTATTCCTGGTTAAGAGGGCATCCTGGGGACACCCAACATGACAGATTACTATCCAGGGTTAACAGAGAGAGGGCTTGTGCACAAAATCGGTGCACTGTGCACTGCAATGAGCCATTCAAGTCACCTGTGGGAGAATTTTGAGAGACCAACTCTCACACACGGGTTGTTTTGGTGGTCGCGCTAAGTCCTGGCTATGTCGCTTTGGGTCGGCTGTTGCAGCCTGTTGTCTCGACTTCGTGTTGTGGTGTGAGCACCGACCGCCTCTCAGCTGCTTCCCTCTGTTTTCATCTATGGTGAGGTAGCTCTGGGGAGCCGTAGGCCCCCCCCCCCCCCCCAGAAAACCAGTGTTGAATATAATGAAACGCCATTTTCTGGGCGAGTCCCCGAGGTGCCCCAGCAACCTTCCCTCCCTCCGGTTGGCGTTTTTTTCGCATTTTTTATATCCAGCCTCAGAACTGGGGTGAGGATCACTGGCGCGAAGGTCTGGGGCTCCGACCTTTCCCTTCCCGGGGAAAGGGGGGGAGCTGCGCTGACATGCGGCACGGCTCGTGTGACGTCATGCTTGTATGCTCGTTTTTCCTGTGAGGAGTTCTGTCCACTCGTTTGATGTTTTTCATTGTTAACCAGAATAGGGGTCGGTTTTGTGGCGCTTACCTTTCTGGGTGCCTGTCCCAGTCGATGGCAGTTCTAGAATGCTCCAAATCACTTGTGCATTTCTATGGGCCATTGCTCCTCGTGCCTCTCTGAGGGGGCCAGGTTCTGGCTCGTGGTCCCCGGTAGGCCTAGAACTTGACCCACATCGACTGATGCAAAATAGTTAAGGTATCCATATCAGCCATGGATAAAATGAACAAATCCACAAGGGCCGTGGATTTGCATTCATTTGATGCATCACGTTATTGTGATCTCTGTGCGTGTGTGTCAGCCATGGATAGCTCCGCGGAGCCTCTGGGACTCGCCTAGAAAATGGCGTTTCATTACATTCAACACTGGCTTTTTATATATATATATATATATATATATCATTTGTTACTATGACTGGTCTGAAAGACCTCTGGTCTTACTATAACTTAAAATTGTTGCCAGTGTGTTTTCCAGGGGTTAGGGTGGTGGGTATCATATAGGTAAAGTGTGCACTTCCCAAGCCTTCCCTCATTGTTGGTACTGCTTGCCAATACTGTATTCAGTCCAGTATTTAAGGTATTACCTTGTTTCTCTACCAGGAGTGGTTGGCATAGGAGAGTGGAAGATTTGTCATCGTACCCAGGCAACACCTCTCAAGAACAAAGTGCACTGAAATTGCCTAAATCACAAGATAACACATCGCCTTCCAGAGGTTAGTTGCTAATATTCAATGAGGATAATTTGTTTGTTTTGTGTAAATGTGGAATATTGTGTGTATGGAAGAGTGAAGTGGAACCTTGAAAATCTTGGCTCTTAACACTTTCGCGCTCTCGGCGTTCAAAAAAAATCATACCCTAGATGCTCTCGGCGCTTCGCGCGCCTACGCGGTAAGACCGAAAAAGTGTACACTCTTTTGACTGTTCTGACAATATTTGAAGGCGCACGTATTTACATTTGGTATCACTGTGTTCGCAATAAAATTGTCTATAAGAACATATCTATAAAATGCCGCCAAAGCATAAGGATTATCAACACCAAATAAAAAACTATTCAGATCACTAGCCGAGAGCGCCAAACAGCAACAAAATGTTTCCACTCTCTTAATGGTTGCGAAGCCTACAGTTGTCCTACATCGCTAATTGTGGTATCATTGGAATCACAATAAAATTCTCTACACGGACATATGCATATAAATATAGATTCAATGTCGTAGCCCACCCAAAACAGTGTGGGAAGTGGCCGAAGTGTTACCCGCGGCGGCATATCGGCGAAACTCGCTTTGAAAAGTGTATATTCAATTCACTGTCCTGACATTATTTGTCGATGTATGTATTTCATTTTTGTACCAATGTGCTCGCAATAGAATGTTCTATAAGAACATAAGTATTAAAGGTCACATAAGGATGCGTTCGACCGGCAACATATATAAAAACTACGTCGATTATACTCGTCGTGTCAATAATACAATTGTTTTACCACGATGATTCACTGCCACGCCGTTCTCTTTAACCCTTAAACTGCGCATGGCGTATATATACGCCCTGAGTAACATGTCCCATGGTGCGCATGGCGTATATATACGCCATAGGGTGCCAGGCCTGATTCAAATGGCCCGCGGCTACACGGGGTTCACAGTAGCTTCCTCAGGGCTCTTGTAAACAGATGCCATTTAAAAAAAAAAATCGTGGGCAATATTCTCAAGTGTGAGAGGCACAGTACTGTTGGAGCAACCAAGGCTGGCGCACGCAGCATGAGCGAACAGCATTGATGTTCAGCTTGTGACCACAGCATCGCCGAAAAATGTCAAAATAAATATATAATTGTTATTATTTAGCGATGACAATATTACAGATGACCCATGACTGTGATATAAATAACCAGGGTTGTGATAATAGCAGGATTGTTGTAATAATTAGTGCTGTGGGAGGAGTGATGCTGAGAGACGGAGGGGGAGACAGCATCGTTTACTGACTGTGTGGCCACCTGTTATTGTTTGTATTCACCATACCAGGTCAGTGGTTCTCTATGGTGAACACAAATGTAGATACTTATATATAATGTGTGTATTAGTGTAATAACAGCAAAAGGATTATGCTGGGAGGAGCCATATGGGTGACGGAGGTGACGCCCGGTCCTCGACCAGGCCTCCACCCCCAGGAAGCAGCCCGTGACAGCTGACTAACACCCGGGTACCTATTTTACTGCTAGGTAACAGGGGCATAGGGTGAAAGAAACTCTGCCCAGTGTTTCTCGCCGGCGCCCGGGATCGAACCCGGGACCACAGGATCAGAAGTCCAGTGTGCTGTCCGCTCGGCCGACTGGTTGATCACCATATGGAAAAATAGATAACGGTATCAGTCTACAGGTATATAAATATTCATAAAAAAATTCATTTATTATGAATTCTTCATTTTCACTGACATTTGATAGAACAATCACTACAAACAATTTGGAATACAAATGCTACATATATGAGCATTATTGGATTCAATCAAGCAAAATCACATAATTTTCTCAACAAACTGATGCAAAATCACATAATTTTCTCAACAAACTGATGCAAAATCACATAATTTTCTCAACAAACTGACAAGAGAAGGGAACAGTTGGCGAGCCGTCGGTGGCAGGGGGAGGGATTTTAGCTTGTCGGCAGTAGAGGGGGTGGGGGGTTGAGTGATGGTCAGATCAAGCCATGGGCCAGACCATGCTTCAGGCCTTGGACCAGGCCTTGGACCCAGACCTTAACCAGACTCGGACAATGTTGACTGCGTAGAGGCCAGATAAGGCCTTGGGCTAGACCAGGCCTTGGACCCAGACCTTGACCAGAGTCAGACGATGTTGACTGCGTAGAGGCCAGACCAGGCCTGACCTCAGACCAGACCTTGGACCCAGACTTTGACCAGACTCGGACAATATTGACGGCTTAGAGGCCAGGCCAGGCCCTGGACCCAGATCTTGACCAGAGTCAGACGATATTGACTGCGTAGAGTCTAGCTGCCTCCTTAACTCCCTAATATATCCCCTCACCACTGACACCCCCATTTATTATGAATTCTTCATTTTGACTATGGAATATGGTAGAGCGACATGTTACAAGCCACAGAAATGATAAAACTTTCTCCTAATTTTGTCAAAAGCAGCAAGTGAGCTTAGTATCGAGGTAGGTACGTGGTGCAGCAGTCAGCTGACCCGACCTGGTGGACGAGTCTCCACTCGCCCTCCTTCTCTGATGCCTTTCCACCCTTCTAATACATCCCCCTCACCACTGACACCACCATTTATTATGAATTCTTCATTTTGACTATGGAATATGATAGAGTTGTGTGTTACAAACAACTGAAATGGTAACATTTTCTCAGCTTATTTGGTGAAAAGCAGACAGTTCACTCACTATCGAGGTGGAGCACGGCGGCGCCAGCCACGTGTTGACATTTAGATGATAACTCAGGCCAGAGCTCTCCACTGACACATTCTGCCTCCCCTGATGCCACTATTACTCCTTCTTCCCTGACAACTTCCACCACTGACAACCTGCCTCCCATGAGAATAACTGCCCCTAACAATAAACCCTAACTACTGACACCACTGTCCCCTGACAACAACTCACCAATGACCCCTGACACCATTTTATCATCCTTCAACCATTTCTCCCTAGAAACAATGTGTAAGCATAATAAAACACTGTATAACTGTTTACACTTTGGCGAACCATAGTTGACGACCGCCACCTCCGATGCACGGTCTCGGTGACCGCTTAGACGTACAATCCTTTCTATCGAACATGTGTATGTTCCACTGGACATTTAGTACCGAATTCAATTTGTTCGGATCTTCCGGGAATTCGCTAGAGCGGGGTTTGTTAGAGTGAAGATGCACTGTAGAGGATTGGTATAACTGAATTTGCTATTTTTGTCACTTTATGCTAGGAATCTGGATATTGATCCTATTTCTTCTGGCCTGATGCCTACCCACTCTTTAAATGTATGTAATAGTTAAGATATGAACTACAAGATGGAATAGAAAAAAATGGGCATATTTTTTTCTTTCAGACATATTAGATTCTGCATTAGAGAATGGCATTGTGGTACGCGAAAAATTTGACCCGAGTCATTTGACTTGCACAATTTGTGGGTCAACTTGTACCGGCGAAACACCTACAAGGCAACACCTTAAAGGTAGCACTCATATGAAAAAATTAAGGTAAGATCAGTTGTGGAATATTCTTTTTATATGAATTTTATGTATATTTTTCCTATTTTTTCTTCCTTGAGAACAAGTGAAATTATTAAGACTCCAACTTGGTTACCTCCTAGGGCCAGATTGTTAAAGGTGCCATTGAAGTGAATCATGTACTGCCAGGACTGCTCTCTAATATGCACTAACACAGCCAGGATCTTTTTTTTTAATTGAATTTCTCTAATTCATTTTTTGTTAGGAAGATGCTGAATATTCAATCCAACTGGGTTTATTCATATGCTTTGTTTAATGGTGTTAAAATACAAAGAGTAAATCTTTTAAACTAGGCACTTGATAATGAGCAGTCCTCGGCCCTTTGTTATTTACTGTTCTGGTGCACAAACTTTAAGTTGACCAAACTAATATATCACTATTGAAAATACGTACTCTTATGCCACTCATTATACACCAACCTAATTATCACATAACGGTGTGTAATTGTCAAGTGTGAGACCTTCACATACCCTGGAGTCCCATTATTCCTTAAATTGCTGTTATGTTTATATGTTTATCTCCAAGCTAATGTTCTTATTGTCATAAGCTGATTTTAGTTACTATCACCTGGTTTTATATAATGATATAAATATGGTTATAGTACACACACAAATCACAATAGCGTGATGCATCAAATGAACACATCCACAAGGGCCGTGATGAGAGTACGAACCTACCCCGGACGTAGGTTCAAACTCTCATCACGGCAACTTGCAACAGAGGTGGTACCCTCTGTTGCAAGTGTAGGGACCCATAGCCTTGAAGAAGAAAATAAAGTGTGTTCAGAGAAGACCTTGTGGATCCTCATTGAACACTTTAATATTTTCTTCTCCTACCACCCCTATTCTTTTGTATACAGTGGTACCTTGGTTTAAGAGTTTAATCCGTTCCTGGAGACAGCTCGTATTCCGAAGCTAATTTTCCCATAAGAAATAATGGGAAATGAATTAATCCGTTCCTGACTACTCCAAAAACCCCACGTCAAACTAAATTTTATACCTAATTCATCTAAATAAACCTACAAAACTATGTTCAAGTTATTACTTACCTTACTGTTGAATGCTGTAGGCGTATGGAAGATGGTGAGGAGGGGGGAAGGAAAGGAGGAGTTACTGTTTGGAAGGGGAGTCCTCTTCCATTATAACATCAGGCAGTGAGGACCTTTCTGGTGTGCACTCCCTGGCACGTTTTGCCTGCATGCCACTAGGTCCTGGTTGTGGCTCACTGCTCAATTTTCTCACAACAAATCTGTCCATGGAAGGTTGTTTTTCCCTTCTTTGCAAGCTGTCTCTGTAGTAAGGCATCACATTGTCATTGAAAAGATTAAGACAATGGCCTACTACAGCTTTCTCTGGGTGAGTCTTTTCAATAAAAGTTTGCATCTCTTGACATTAAACTCGCCTTTCGACAAACTAACACACTTCGTAGTAATCTAGTTCACACTGCTCCTGCTTCTAATGCTGCTGGTGTCTACTCTATTTCCTGTTCATCTTGTCCTCTCCAATACTTTGGCGAAACTGGCCGTACACTGAATGACAGACTTAAAGAACACAAGAGAAGTGTTAAGTCTGCAGACACTAACAATGCTCTCTTCTGCCATGTGAGGGATTCTAATCATCCCATTGATTGGTCTTCCTCCAAAATAATCTTTCCTGCCTCTACTCTACACAGACGCCATCTTGTAGAATCGGCTCTTATACACAATGTACCCAACATGAACTTGAGTCCTGGCTTTGTTGCTGTGGACTCTTCACTTTCACAGTATATACTCAAATGCTCTAATCTTTCTAACAAACGTGACTTAACATAAGCTTACCCCTTCCATTTATCTTTTTTTTTTCTTCTTTCCTTTTCTTTCTCCTCCCTTTTTCTGTGCATTGTCTTCTCCTAAGCTCCCTTGCTATCCTCTTCTTATTCCTATTACCATCTCCTTCGGTAGTTATAATAGGAGCTGCCTCGTATGGGCCAATAGGCCTTCTGCAGTTCTCATTATTACTACTATCCCCTACACCTTACTTTCCTCCTCAGCTCTCTCTTGCCTATTTATTGCCTGTCCCTACCTGTCCTCATTACAATCGACTTGAGAATGGTCCAGGACGGACCGAAACGTCGTCGTCCCTTCAACTTCTAGTGTGTGGTCTGGTCAACATACTTCAGCCACGTTATTGTGACTCATTGCCTGCATTTGCATCTCTTCCCACATCTGACACCTTAATTTGTGCAGAAGGGACATTCGCTACTGCCTCATCCTCCTCCACTGGAGAAACATCCTCAGCTGGGTCATCTTGCTGTTCCTTTTGAAGGGCTTGGAGTTCTTCGGTGGTCAGTTCTTCGTTGTTCTTCCACCAACTCCTCAACATCATCACCATCCAATTCCAAGCCCATTTGCCGGCCCAGAGTAACAATTTCGTCAACAATAAGCGCATCATTTACAGGCTCAAACCCCTCAAAGTCTGCACTTTCTGCTGTTTGAAAACCCTTGGATTTTCAGAATGATACATTAGCAAGGGTTTAATTTTCAAATCGCCACTCGCATTTGAACACAGCACAAGCGTAAACCTATCTTTCGTAGGCTTATGTCCGGGCAAGGATTTTTCCTAAGTTTTCCTAAGGATTGCCTAAGTATGTCCTCTTAGGCAATCATTTCCAAAACAGTCCTGTTTCGTCACAATTAAACACTTGTTGCAGTAGGTATCCCTCAGCCTCTGCAAACTCTTTAAATTCCTCAATAAATCGTCCAGCCGCTGGTTTGTCTGAGCTGGCTGCCTTCCCATGCCTTGTAACACTATGGATACCACCTCTCCTCCTAAATTTTTCAAACCAGCCCCTGCTTGCCTTAAACTCTTTTCGTATCTGCATCACTCGTTGCAGGGGTATTCTTTACAAGGTCTTCGTGCAATACCCTGGCTTTCTCACAAATGATGGCCTCCGAAACACTATCACCCTATATCTCCTTGTCGTGTATCCAAATTAATAACAACTTTTCCACTTCTTCCAGTATTTGTGGTGTTTGTTTCGTGATTGTTCTTACGCGTTTTGCCACTTTAGCACTCATATTGTCCTTTTTCTTGCTGAGTATAGTGCATATTGTTGACGTGGCTTTGTTGTACTGCCTACAAAGTTCAATAACACGTGTGCCATTTTTATGCTTCCGAATAATCTCTTGTTTCTCCTCTATTGTCATCCTCACGTGAGCTTTCTTGCCTTGATCCTTACCACTGGCTTTCTTGGGACCCATGGTGAGATATATAATAACAACTTTTATGGTCAAATGACTAAAAATCCATCAGAACACAAAATTCGAGTGAAGAATTGACGTGGGATAGTCACTGGGCACGAGGCACTGGTAAACTGAGGGGTGAGGGGCGACGATCGCCGTACCACCACACACTAGGTCGGCCTGTACGTGTATCAACAAACTCGCCTTCCGAGGCACATTTTCCGAGCAAATCCTGCTCGTATTCCAAAAAACTCGTATTCAGGAACACTCGTATTCCAAGGTACCACTGTATATACATATTTATATGTATAAGTCAGAATCTATAGTTTGTAATCAATTGTTATATTATATATATATATATTAGTATATTTTGGTAGCAGTCTTTCTTGTAAACATGTTATTAAATATGACCGAAAAAGTAAGATTAATAATTCTAACACGAATTTTCTCAATATTTCTTATGTTTCTTTTCACTGTCGATGGTAATTGAAAAATCAATTTTCCAAAATTCATTTTTATTTCTAGTCTGACACTTGAACACATTTCGTAATAACTTATTACATTTTCAAAGACTTTAGTTTACACACACACAACTATAACCTGCAAACACTAAACACAGTTATACTATGCTATCATTTCAACAGCTTTTATCTTATCACCTCACCCAAATGCAGGTATATATGTTACTACAGTTTTGGATGAGGTGAACAAAACTTTCAACACAAGACAGAACACGGTTCATTGGGTATAAATTGGATAAATTAAAGGGAAGAATGGAAGTAACTGCAAAGGGCCTATTGACCCATATTTCTTGATGCTTCTATATTGGTGCGGAGTCTTGAAGTGGGTAGAATATAGTTGTGCATTAATTGGCTGTTGATTGCTGGTGTTGACTTCTTGATAGATATAGATATAGATCATAATAATAAATTAATGGTGGTGTTGGGAGGTGTTGGGTACAATAGTGATTACAGTACGATTTCTTTTGTAGCAGCAACTGTCCCACATTGCTCTTTTGTTGACTGGACCAATTGCAGTGTGTATGGAGCTAATGAGTTATTACTGGCTGAGTACCTCTCTTTTTGTATTAAATAGTAGCCACTGGTTTTTCCATTCTTATCATGTAATGTTTATACAGAAGACCAAAGGTCATACACAGGGGTTTAGTCATTTTCATTAGCTCCACCAGGTCTGTTTTATGCCCTTGTTGAAATCCGGTCATTTCTGTTACCTGGAGTCTAGTTATGTGAGTTAGATTAACTTGTATGTACTCTACTTTATAATGACCAGGAGTTTTACCTAAGTGATTGGTGACAATGTGGCTTTTGCCACATTGTTGGTTATCACTGTAACTTTGTCATCCTGCCTCTCTGAAATCCCAGATGTTTAATTAATGTAATGTTAGCCATGTGAATAAATAGTTGTAACTGTTAGCTGGAAGTTTTGTTCCTCCAATTAAGGGATTAGACTTTCATTCTCATTAGAGGTGTGGGGATCTAACTTAAGGGGGCCTCAGATTCCAATTTGCCCTAAAAACGCAACAAATGAAAACTCGTTCGATTTCAATCAAACTTTTTTGACAAGTTCTATATGAAAAGTGTTTCATCTGGTCCAAGTTTCAGCATCGTAGCATAAATAGGAAGGGAGAAAAAAAATATTGAAGTAGTTGTGAAAATTATGCCAAAATGGTCAAAATCGATTATCAATCAAAAGTGTCAACTGAAATCATAGCTACGACTCTTTGCTATCA